GAAGCAAGATAGTTTCCCTGTTGCTGTGTATGTGAACTTAGATACAGGAGATGACATGAAAGTTTTTAATACAAAGCTTCAAACGGTAGTGAGAGAACAACTGACTGCGGAAGGACATCCATTACCTTCAGAAGTTACCATAGCATATAATTTTGAAACAAACTCAATAGATTTTAAAGTCGTCTCTGCAAAGAAGTCAGGATTTACATTTAATGAAGCAGATGTATATTCGAATGAAAACTTCAAAGCTATTGCATGGTTAGATAATGACGATTGTTTTTAAGAAAATATTTAAATACAGTGACTCAACGATGTCAATAGATGACCTTCGTGGAATGTTACCATCGACATTTTACAGTAGAAGGTTCAGCAGGATTGCTTACAAGATTGTCAATTGGTGGTATTTGGTCTCGTGAGAACATTGTTATAAAATCCAGTATAAGTGAATTTGCTGAAGAATCTATATTATGTCTTTCAAACTACATGTATTCGCCGCCGAAGCATTATAGTATAACAAACTTTGTCAGTAAGTTTAACATAAGACTTGTCGAACCTTCTTCAATGAAAGATGTTGTGCTACCCAAAGACGGAAAGGATGGACTCATTATTGAGATGATTTTAATAGCATATTAAATGAGCTTGTTCTTGAAGGTCATTCATGATGAAATAACTGTTGTAGAAGATGTTAGCAATTGTTCAGACATTTTGAAGCGTATAGAATGATATTAAGAAATAAGTTAGATAGACCGCAAAGCGGTGAGGGCGAAGCCCGTGAGAACGCTTATGTTTCATTGACTTTCTCCAGTAACGAGAACTTTTATGAGATAATATTGAAGAGAGATGATTTTAATATGGTGTAAATGGTAGCTTGGGCAGCTTTAGGCGCAATGGGAACAAAAGCATTAGCATTTGGAGCAAAAGCACTTGGAGCTTATGACGCAGTAAATAAAATGAGTGGAGAAGAGTTTCGAAGACATTAGATGCAAATAAAGGAAAGATTGGAGGCTGGGTTGCAAAGAAGTTAAGATTAAATAAAATAGGGCTCATAAATAAAGCATCCAATTTGGTTGCGACTGAGTCAGAAAATGCTTTAGGAAAGGACGATGAGTTTGCAAAACACGCAAAAGACTTTAATGACCAGATGAAAGGTGAAACAATGCATTTAAATAGAGTCGATGGAACTAAAGAAAATGTTTCTTCTCCACAACTTCCACCAGTAGTTCTTCCGTATGGTCCCTATGGAATGTATGGAAACCCTTACGAAAGACCATTTGACCCATTGACTGGTGGAAGTAACTGGTATCATTACGGACGAAGGAAGAAGACAGTCAAGTTGGAGACAGACGTGAAGAAAGCAACTAAAAAGAAACCACGGAAGAGAGTTATAAAGCAATGAAATTCAACAGGGTGAAAAAACAGGTGAAAAAAGAGGTGAGATTTCACCACTTCACCTAAATTTATTTTTTGTGCTATGTTTTCATACGTGTGAGGGTGGTGATATCATTAATTTTTAAGTTTATTTTTTATTTTATTTTTTATTTTATTTTTATATAAATGACGAAAACTATTGAGATAACAAACTACAACGGTCATGAGTTCAAGAATTTGTTCTTCGTTCCTCGTGAAAATACATTCTATCAGATACGAGGGAGAAAGGGTAAAGTTAGTTTGAGCGTTTACGACAACAAACATAATGGGAGATATATAAAGCCAATAGATACAAACGGTAAGCGTGTTTCATTAGCTTTGTCAAAACTTACTAACATTTATTTTGACAGTGAGTTTGACTCTGACGATTGGAGTGACAGCAGCGATACTGAAGAATATGAACTATTGTGTGAAGCACAGCAATGGGAAGCGCTGCAATACTTTTGTAAATGAAGAACATTAGTGGGAACGTTAGTGAGAACGTTTATTTTTTCATTAGTGAAGTCGTTAGCGAAAAATGTTAGTGAGGTGAAGTGGTTGGCGGCTTTGTAAATATTTAAGGTTAAGTTAGTGTTGTCGTTTGTGTTGTAAAATATACGTTAGTGGTTTTGTAAAGTGTCAAACCGTTATCTTGGGTAAGGTGGAACGCAGTGCCGCCGTACCCAAGATAGGGATTACTAACTTTTGCTCAAATGTTGGTGGATTTGGTTTTCTGCCGCGACTAACTTTTGGTAATTCGATTTTTGAAGTTGAAATGCTCTTCTTATTGTATTTTCGGCAACATTCAATTTAATTTTACCATTTTCCAATTCAACTTCCTTTCCTACACTTTTGTAAGATTCACCTTCTTCTATTCTTCTTTTAGCTTCAAATAGCCATTCTCTGCTTATAGATTTGCAGTATCTAAAAGTGTCTTCTGGTAAATTCATTTGAATGATGATTAAATATAATGATATAAAATTATATTAATAGATAGAAATAAAAGTTTTTTTAAATTTTAATGAAGTTAAAATATTATTTAATATCTCATATTTTTTTTTTTGAGATCAAATTCCAATTTTAGTGAATTTAGTAATACTAATTTTATCTTATATTTAGTCAAACACTTATCCGTATATTATTATTATTAATTATATCATTATTTTTTGAAGTTTTATTCAAATCTTGGTCGCAAGAAGAATTGCATGTATAAATAAAAACATTTAATCAAAGTCAATTTTATTTTTCATATTCAAATGGACTGATGTTAACATTTAACATTTTTTGCTAATTGTCGTCAAAAATTAGGCGTAAAGCAAAAATTGATATTTTATTGGTTTTATGATAGATAAGCATTATATTCCCACTCATTATATTCGTAAATTTTGAGTGTTTTCCTTCGCTTTTAAGATCATTGAATTTGATTTTTATATATAAATAGTTATTATATTAGAATTAATATAATATTGTTTATGTGTTATATATTATATTTTTTATTTTTCAGAAGATTTTGTGTTCTTCTATCAAAATTTTATTTTTTATTAAAAGAATCCTTACAAAAATAATACATTTACTTTAATTAATATTTAAAACGTGCTCTATCAAAAGTTTCCAAAATTCAATATTTTAGCGTTTTTCTGAGGTGTCACTTTGATGAATTTCTGTTTACAACAAAATGATTCGAAAAGTCCGTTTTTAGTGATTTTTTATATGCATTTAAATTAAATTACGAGTTATTTTTATATAAATAATGATTATAGAATTGATTATAACTCTTGTTCCATAAAATTTGAATTTTGGACAAAATTGAAAATCATGAAAATCATTGAAAATCAAAATCAAAATTCAAATATTTGCCTTATTTATGAATTCTATGTTTCAAATGCAAAATAAATCTTCCGAATAAACTCTCACAAAATAATTTTGAAGTGGTTGATATACTTATCAATTTAATTATTTTAAAATGATTTATTATCTTTAATTATGCTTCAAAATCTAAATTATAATTATATCTGTAAGTCCTTTTGATTATAACAAATTATGACATAATGTTGATTTATATTAGATCACTCATTCATTTAATGCAACTTTCATATTTTATTATCCAAAGTGACGGTTTTCTAGATATTAATATAATAACTCAGAATATGATATATAATAATATTAATTCAAAAATTCATCTGTAAAAATATCGGTAATAATTTCGATAACTCACTCAAAAAATGTCACGTTTTATTCATAAGTCAATTTTTGAAATATGTCTGAATTCAATTTAATTAAAATTTTAAATTAAATTTAATGAATTTAGTTTGTACTATCAGAATTACATATAAAGGAAATTATCCCGCATTTAATTTAATAATTTTTACTTTTCGTTAATTTAAATTTTCCGAATTTCTTCACACGTTCACATATATTGGATTAAAACATCAACGCCAATATGTTTTTCATATTTTGATGAAATAAATCTTTAGTTTAAATTTATCAATCTCTAATCCGTAGGAAAATGGAATATATCACTTTCCATGTATCACAATATGCATTTTCAATAATCCAAATTTCATTTATCCCATATATCATGATATTTGAAAAGTCTCTCCTATAATTCATTTATTAATTTGATCGGAGTATAAATTTCTTACAGCATACAATAATTCGTTTAAAATGATGTAAAAATTCAAATATTTAAATTAATTGTGTTATTTATTGTTGCATTTGTTAATATATCAAATTCGATGGTTGATATTTGGTTATGTTATGATACATTATGCACACTGGCTCTCAATCGTTACGAAAAATAGAAACAGAATTGGAAATCCGGAAAAAATAACGATAAAGATGATTAGTAATTATAACATTGAATTACCTTACAAATTGTATTGCAGTTATTATTAGAATTTTTACTATTTTAGAGAAAATTATTAAATTCTTTATTCTTGTCCTATGGGAAAATAATAGCCGGTAGTTAAGATGTCTTTGTATAATTGTTTCGGTTTTTTAGCTGGATTATTATATATATAATCTAATTAATTCTTGTTTATTAAAAAAAATGAAACATTTTGATATTTTAATATCCGGTTACATAATAAATATTATTTTCACTCATCTTTCTTTTGGTATAGTTATAATTCTTTTGCACCTTCATCATCGGAAGAAGAAGACGATGACGATGAAGAAGATTTCTTCGATTTCTTGGATTTAGAAACAGATTTAGACTTAGATTTCATTGAATCTTCCTTATGAGACTTAGGTTTCATTGATTTGGATTTAGATTTCATGGAATCTTCTAGTTTCAAGTCTCTTTCTGCAACGAAAATTTCATCTTCGTTGTTCTGATCTTTCTTGGATTTAATCTCATCTTCATTTTCTTCAACTTTCTTTGCCTTTACGACTTTACGACGTTTAGGAGTTAATTTCTTATGATTCTTGAAAATTGCATCATCCATGTTGTTTTCTTTCTCGTCTTCATCCAACCATCTTGATTTCTTCTTCATCTCTTCAGAAGCGATGCTTTCTTTCTCATCATCGCTACTGGAGATGTCGTTTCCATGTCTCTTTGGTGTTGTTATTAAGTTCTTTCTTGGAGAATAAGTTGTGTTGTCTGGAGCGTTTGATTTCAGCAATTTTCTCCATCTTCCTTCTGTTTTCAAGAGTCCTTCTTGGAGAAATTGATGTTTGTTGCAAGATAGAGTTCTTCAGCAACTCCATCATTCTTATCATTGTCTTCTTTAAGAGGGGACAAATACTTCTTGTTCAACTTTCGAAATTCTGACATTAGAGACGCCACCGGGTACAAAATATAACCAAATACAGATTGTCGTGTTTTCCCGGATGAATGAACTAATAACATTTCTACGATATAAGGGTCTTGAATTTGAATTTTTGAGAGAATATCTTTTTCAGTAAGAACTTTCTGACCTCGTTTTCTGTACCTTTGAATTTCTGACTTGTGTGGTTGTTGGTATACTCATCTGACTTTTTCTTAGGTCGGAAGAGTCTGAATCGGTAACTTTTAATAGATTGTGATGAAGAAGTAGAACTCATTTCCGTAATGTTAATAACTTGTAATCTTTGTGTGTTGATTGCTGTTTTTGACTCTACAGCCTCATAACATTTAAACTTTTTTTTGAAGGAGAATCTGCAACTTTTGTCTGCATTAGCACATCATCACTGTTATCAGGCCCTCGCTTGCGTCAAAGACAGTTTACTTCTCTTTGTTTCTTTTAGATACAAAAGTGACAAATTCTCGCCTTCGGAGCATCTTGATTGACGGTTTTGTATTAACGTTTATCATCTATCTAGAGATCTGCGAGATATTTGTGTTTCTTCGGTGTAATGTGTGTCTTTTTGGTGATAAAACTTAGAGATTTTGTCTTACCGTGGAAGTTGTAGATCTTTTTCCTGGGTCCTCTTTAAATATGTATTTGTCGCCTCATTTGTAGATCGTCATTCTTGGGGAAGCTTTTCTTGGTACGTCTGAGTGTAACATGACGAAGCAGCCTTCTCATATCTTCTCTTTCTTTGAGAACTATACAAGATTCTGAGTCTTTATAATCAAGTCTTAAATTAACAAGCAGATTGTCTCATTTTCATTTGAATGGCTATTTTTAGCTTTTCTGTAAATTATGATTATTGTTTCTTTCATATTTCAATTTTAAATATTTTCTTAAATTGATATAACTTAATATACATTGAATTTTACTATATGCACTAGACTAAGTATGATCAAAATGATAGGAGCACTGTTGCTTATCAACAAAGGAAAGCATTCCAAAAAATAAACCAAACGTTTCAATAAAATTAGGCTAAAGCCTGAATACTAGATATTCAAAGTATGATTTTACTGCATTAAATCAATGTTTTTATATTTTTTTTATGTAATTCTGTTTAATTTTCTGTTAGAATAGTTTGGTATTTGGAACATGCACTAGAAAAATATTATGTGTTCAATCTCCGAAAGTAATACCCAATTTCGATTTAAATAATTATGGAAAATTTAGGAAATGTGCATTTATTTGTATAAAAAATGATCGACTAGTATACTTATGTAGCTACAAAGACATGTCTTGGTCGTATCTTGAATAATGTTGATGCCTATTCAAATCTCTGCAATGCCTATAAAAATAAAGAAAACCATTTGTGAAGTTTACATTTAACCCTGTCATATAATCTAAATATTATTTATTGCATTAGATATTGGAATACTTTTGCCAAGACTGTTCGTATATTTCATTCAATTTGGCGGTTTTAAAGGCCATTCTTCTCTTTGCACTCGTTTCGCGACGTGGGCGATGTCGAGCTATAAAGGAAGATATAGTCTACAGGGGGGTTTAAACCACCATTAGGAAAGTACTATTTGGTATTCCCGCTCCCCTACATTTCTTAAAATATATGGATTCTTTTTTATATTTCAATTAACCCATATTGAATTTGCATTGCCGATCGTTCAATTTACAATCTAGTTTCATGGATTTCCTTGTTAGTATGAGTTTTTATTTTTTATTATATTATTTGAACAATTTGAAGAATAATTAATAACATCTTACTTATTGAAGTCAGCCGGTGATTAGTTACGTTTCTAATAGGTGAAATTTCTTAAGATTTTTTATATAATTTTTTTTAATATTATTATGTAGTGATGCAGAATGTGTAGCGCAAATATAACTCATGTTCTTAAGCATAATGAATTTTTGGATTAATTTATTCAAAATAAAATTCAATATGAAAATAGGAGAAATTTAATTGATATATCTCGAAAAACATATATGATTTTGAGTAATATATGATCTTAAAAGTTGAAAATATAAAATGATTATTTTAATAAGTTGCTCATTATTCTAAAACTGGATGACGTAATGATGCATCATTTATTTTAGAATACAAAAAATTTTGTTTGATGGGAAAGCATGCTAAATAAATAGTGCTATTTTCCACCAAAACGTGGGCTATTCTGAGTGAATTGTTGATTTATAAAGTGGTCTTCAACAATTTTTGAGAATTAATAGCTCAATACTACACAAATCATCATGCTCATGTTCAAAAAAATTGATCAAAAATCTCCTCACATATAAATTGCATGAAAATGGCTATTCTTTCCCATAACGTTGATTTTATTACATTTTTGCTCAATGAGAATGATTGTAGCTCAATAATCTTCCAGCATTCTTAATTTATCTCGATCAAACTAAAGAAATTGATCAATGTTTCATCAAATCATTCTTATTTAATATTCCATCATTATGTGAATATTTTATCGAGAATGGGGCAAATATTAATGCAAATGATAATATCAAAACTGGAAGGACTGCTCTTCATTATGCCGTCGAAGTAAATAAAAAAGATTATGTAAAATTACTTCTTGCTCATGGCGCAGATATCAATGCAAGGGATTATAGTAATAGGACAGCTCTTCACTATGCATCAAGAGAAGATAATATAGAAATAATGGAATTTCTCCTTTCTCATGGAGCAGATATTAATGCGGAAGATATTAATGGAAAAACGGCTTTACATCATGCAGCTGAAACGAATATTCTGGAAAATGTAAAATATCTTATTACTCATGGATCAGATATTAATTCAGAAGATCGTGACGCAAACGCTGCTCTTCACTATGCAATACTAAAAGATAATAAACAGATTGTAGAATTTCTCATTTCATATGGTGCTGAAATCATTAAAAACCAAAATTTGGGAAGAAAAGCACTTTATTATGCAATTTTATATAATTACATTGAAATAGTAGAACTTCTTGTTTCTAAAGGAGTAGATGTAAATGCAAATGAATTTGAAAATATTTCCCCGTTGCAATTTGCAGTCAATGAACATAGAAATGAAATAGCAGAGCTTTTAATTACCCGTGGCTCAGATGTAATGTTCCCATCTGTGCTAGATATATACAAATAACTTGAACTTATATAATTAAAAAAAAAAAAAAAAAAAGGTAGTGGGGCTTCCAGGCACTTCGTGCCTTCTAGCCCTGAAGATGTTTAGTATAAATGAAGTCTTAGAGGACAAACATGACTATGAGTTTTGATATGACAAGATAGAATATGAGAGAGGTCCTATAAACCGGAGAAAGTGTTATATAAACATCTGTCATATTACTCAGAATATTATACAGAATTCAATAAAAATATATTTTAGGTGAAGAGGTGAGATTTCACCTGTTTTTTCACCTCATTTTTCACCTCTTGAATTTTCATGAATTTCTTCGTAAAGACTTTGTTAAGACTTCTTCGTAAAGACTTTGTTATGACTTCTTCGTAAAGACTTTGTTGAGATTTCATCGTAAAGACTTTGTCAAGATTTCATCGTAAAGACTTTGTTGAGATTTCATCGTAAAGACTTTGTCAAGATTTCTTCGTAATGAGCGTAAATCAGACAAAAATATATTTTAGGGTAGAAGGGTATATCTACCCCGTTTTCTACCCTCTTTTCTACCCCATATGTACTTACTGAAAAAGTATGTGTTCCATCTGTCATTTTACTCAGAATTTTACACCAAAAATAATGTTTAGGTGAAGAGGTGAGATTTCACCTGTTTTTTCACCTAATTTTTCACCCTCTTGAATTTTCATGAAATTTACACCAAAAATAATGTTTAGGTGAAGAGGTGAGATTTCACCTGTTTTTTCACCTAATTTTTCACCCTCTTGAATTTTCATGAAATTTACACCAAAAATATACTACTAGGGTCATTTACGAAGAAATCTCAACAAAGTCTTTACGATGAAATCTTGACAAAACATAGACAAGAAGTTCATGAGAAATTAGATGAAGAAGTCTTAACAAAGTCTTTACGAAGAAATTCATGAAAATTCATGAGGTGAAAAAAGAGGTGAAAAAAGAGGTGAAATCTCACCTCTTCACCTAAAATATATTTTTGGGTCATTTACACTCATTTACGAAGAAATCTCAACAAAGTCTTTACGAAGAAGTCACAATAAACATCTGTCAAAAACCGCTTTTTAACTTCACTTAAAATGCCACGTAAGCTACGTAAGAATATACGTAAGAGGAAGAGAGCATTGAAACATCCAATAGTAAAACTGACACCACAACAACAGTTGCAACAACAAATGCTGAATGACCCCACTATGTTGCAACAAATGTCAAACAATCCTATGCTTTTAAACCGAGTTGTTGGTGCACAGAGTGGAGGTTTAAGAGCGGCACTTTTAGCGAAAATGGCAGGCTATGGTGGAGCTGCAGACGGAACAGCCTATAACCCTCAAAGTCAAATGAATTTGAGTTCACTCAAAAATCAAATAACAGATGTCAAAAAGTCAAACATAGACATACAGAAGCAAATAAGTGAAAACGAAAAGAAACTAGAATATGACAGACAGACAAAGAAACTCAATGAGTTTACGTAGAGAAAAAGAAGAAGAAAGAACAACTGAAAGAACTAAGTACAGAGGAATATGCGAAAAAAGTGTCAGAAAAAGCAGCAGAGAAGTAGCAAAAATGGAACAAGATGTTATAAATTTGAAAAACCATACTACTCAATATAAAGTACTGAAAGATGAAGAAATAAAACAAAAAGCCCTGAAGACATATATGGATAGCGATGAGTATAAAAAGGAAGTTGAAGCAAATGTAAAGGCAGAAAAACTTTTACAGTTGCAAAACCAAACCGTACAGTATGAAAACTTAGCACAAGAAAGTAAAAATAACGACGCAGCCATGCAAAAGGCAATGAAAAGCGCAGAATATATAAAAGCTAACAATGACTGGTTAGATGCCCAAGCCAACGCTAAAGCAGCCCAACTCATAGGGTCAATAAGGACAAAAATACAAGCGGATGAAGACAGTTCAAATGAAGCTTTAACGAATGCTGACTTTAAGAACGCCTTCGAAGCTCTTCATAGTAAGGTGAAACTAGTGAACGACTTCTCATCTGGAAAGAAACTGAAGTCTGAAGGTTTCGACAAAGAGTTAAAAGAAGTAGCACAAAATATGACGAAAATAACAGATGCAGCAACGAGACAGGCAGTTCAAAGTGCCTATGACGCCGTTAGAGCAACTGTTGTGAAAAGTCAAGAAAAAGAGTTACAACAGACCAAAACAGACCTAGTAAATGCTTTCTTAAGAACGAAAAGTCAGGTAGGACATTACGCTGCAGATGGAACATATGTGCCAGCTGGTGGAACTTATATACCAGCTGTTGGAATTTATATACCACCAAACCCTCCAAGAGAAGCACCTGCACCAGGACTACCTAAAACATTTACATCGTCACATGGACACAGACACAGGCATGCACCAAAACCAACACAACAACCAACACAACAAACCAGACAACCACCTCCACAACCAGCACAACAACCAACACAACAACCAACACAACAACCAACACAACAACCAGCACAGCAACAACCACAAACAGAGCAAGGACATAAAAGAAGTAGAGAACAAGGAAACCAAGAATTCTTAAAAATGCTTAAGGAAGACTATGGTTACCCAGATACTCTTGACTTTAGTGACAGATATAAAGAAGCTATTAGAAAGTTCAAGGAAGGAAATACTGACCCGAACCTATTTAGCTTTATGGTTCAGCACCAAATGGGATATAATTTCAAACCTGGAAAATACAAGCTCGCTAAGGGATATGATTTAATAGCATATCATCCAAATGACATGGATGAATTTACTCCGAGATATTTGGTGTCAGAGCTAAATGATAATTCAACTCTCTTCATGAAACGCGTAAAAAATAGAGACGGAACGAAAGAAGAAAGGTTTTATGAGTCCGGATGACTTAGATAGGGAACTTTTTAAAAACGGTCTCGGAATATATGAAATGCCAGCAGATGAGGTACAAGAAACTCCACAGGAAGAAGTTCAGATACAACCAGACATGGAAGAAATAGTTCAGCAACAACAGCTAGAAGAGCCTGAAGGAAACGAACAAGTCCCTCCTTTGGAAACTAACTTCACAGAACTAGATGAAGATTTGGAACAGCCGAAAAATCTTGACCCTCAACAAGTGTATGCGGGAATATGGAATCTTTCCAAGAGTCTAAGAAAAATTCGGCTGACATAGTAGAAGAATATCGAAAAATGTTCGCCGACATACAAAAGACTCCAACATCAGATGAAAATATTCAGCATAGAATGGAAGAACTGAAAAAAAATGTACACAAATACAACAACCCTTTTACTTACGAGCATTTAACGTTCAACTTTCGGATGAACTCGGTGAAGATAAAAGGTTAAATTTCAAGAAAACATATAGAAATGAAACATTGTTTAAAGTTCATTCAGAACCTAACCAAGATGGAAACAAACCTACTTTTGTTTCTGCAGACGATGGAACTACAATGAGATGGGGTCATAAAGCTAACCCGGATAGGTGGTTCATTAAACTTACAACCTCAATTCCAAGAAGTTGTAGACGCAATGGAAGTCAATGGTGAACCAGATATAGCTGGTATTTTAAGCGCGGCTTTAATGCCATTGAAAGATATGAAACATGCAGATATTTTGGACCAGTATGAAATGAACATGGCTGATGGAAATATAACACCTGACGTTCTAGAACATTTATCTCAAAGAACTACACAGAACCATAGAGATGGTATATTTGGTGAAGATTTAGAAAGAAAGTTAGGGAGAGAGAAGAAGAGAACCTATTGTACATGACCTTGCAAACGAAAGTTTGCAAAATGTCATAAAAACTTACTTTGCAGACAATGAACCGAGAAGGGATGAATATTTAAGAAAACTCAAATGGACAGTACCAAATGAAATGTTAGTATTGAAAAACATGTTCCTTGACAAAATAAAACCAACTACAGAAATAAATGACGAAAGACTGAAAGATTGGGTAAAAGCTTTCCCATTCACAAAAGATATTGTTGGTAACATGGAAAGAAAACCAGAATGGCTACAAAAACATATATTTGGAAACGAGCATATTCCATATGGACAGGCACTGTTTGAAGAGCTTGAACCGGAAACTCAGGACAGAGTCATGCAAACAATAAGCGACGACTCAAATACAGACTATGACAAACTCTTTCTAGGATATAGGTTACCTGAGATGGGCGACCAGAGCCAAAAGGCAAAAAGGACATGGAAAATTTGCAACATACTAGATGAACATAATGCAAAGATGCAACAACTTCAAGCAGAGGGCAATGAAGGAAAAAGAAGAGTTAAAAACTCAGTCAGGAAGAAAGTAAAGCTTGGTCCACGTGGGTTCTATTATGACATATAAATCCAACTATTCTATATTTTTACTCATATGAAATGTACGCGCTCAGAATATAACGCCAACAGTTTTGGATGCTATGAATGGAAATGTTTCCGAATGGTATAACGAATGCGACAATGCCATTAGAAGGTCAGAAATAGTTCCTGGAACTTACGAATATACAACTGCTGTTATATGGAAACGTAGGTGAGTTTGGAGAAGGTTCTTCAACAACAGTAGATATTGCTTGCGACAGGTTTCATATAATTTCTATTGACAACTCTTTCTTATACGTGGAACAAGACATTGAAATAAAACCTTCTGCCAAGTTGTCTGACAAGAAAGGTTGCAATGAATTTTCTATGTCGGATACCAATATGCTCCAGAAGTTTTCATGGGATATTAAGATATATTCTAACTCTGACTTAGTTCAAACAGTAACATGGGCAAACTATGAATGGTTCGCTTTGAGAAACTCAGTACAACCACAAGCTAGAGAACAAACAGACCAGTATGCAACTATTGAGAAAATAAGAAGACTTGACCCTAACGTTCCAGGAGTTTATGTTAACCTTTCTGGACAAACTGCAGCAGCAGTAACCAAAGTAAAACTGAAACTTAGAGTTCCTTTGTCATCTTTCCTCATCTTCAGGTTTTTAAGATACTTGCCAAACTGGGCAGAAAAATTTCTATCGAACTTACTCAAGCAAAAATAACTTAGTCATTGCACCAACACAAGACCCATTCACTTTACAGAAGTAGTGGAACAAATAAAATGTCATTCGCCGACTTTTGCAAAAACAAAGTTGACTTAGACTTTGGTTTCTCAAACCTCAACACTGAAGTAAACTATTATTTCAATGCTGCTGGAGATGCTTGGGACCCAGTTAAGTTCACATGCGAAAAATTTGAATGCAAGAGAATAGAAAGCAGACTTGCCGTTTATATGTTGGACCCAGATATTTCAAATGCTTTAGCTGCCAATATATTGCAGTTCCACTTATGTTCCCTATACACCAAATATCTGTCAAAGACTTTGCAGGTGAAGTTGGAAACCAAAGTGCTGACCCAGGTGCAAGAACAGATATTGCTTTAACAACTGCGATGAAACATGCAGATACTATGTTTGTACTGTTCAGACGAACTATAAATGACTATTCTTGTTTCTACAACCCCGGTATTAAATATCATATAAACATAGATGGCAAATATTATCCAAGAGAAGAATATCCACAGTTGAAGATATGAGGTCATACAACTTACATTAGATGCTATGAACTTTAACAACAACTTCACAACAACCATTAACCCTGAAATGCAAAGTTCTTTATGCCATATGTGAAAGTATGGACTCATACAGGAAGTCAAAAAACTCAATATACAAATGGAGACCGTTCAAACTTTTGGCTTGGCATTCCATTGCTGACTCAGAAGACTTTATGGGTGGTATTTCAACTGTGGTACAGTTCAAATACATATACTGGTGACAGAGACGGTCCAGATGAATTGAAAGCAAAGAAGTTTACAAAACCAATAGCACTTTTCACGGAAGATGCTCTTTTGAAGATATCTCTCTCTCTTAGATAGTTTCCCTGTTGCTGTGTATGTGAACTTAGATACAGGAGATGACATGAAAGTTTTTAATACAAAGCTTCAAACGGTAGTGAGAGAACAACTGACTGCGGAAGGACATCCATTACCTTCAGAAGTTACCATAGCATATAATTTTGAAACAAACTCAATAGATTTTAAAGTCGTCTCTGCAAAGAAGTCAGGATTTACATTTAATGAAGCAGATGTATATTCGAATGAAAACTTCAAAGCTATTGCATGGTTAGATAATGACGATTGTTTTAAGAAAATATTTAAATACAGTGACTCAACGATGTCAATAGATGACCTTCGTGGAATGTTACCATCGACATTTACAGTAGAAGGTTCAGCAGGATTGCTTACAAGATTGTCAATTGGTGGTATTTGGTCTCGTGAGAACATTGTTATAAAATCCAGTATAAGTGAATTTGCTGAAGAATCTATATTATGTCTTTCAAACTACATGTATTCGCCGCCGAAGCATTATAGTATAAACAAACTTTGTCAGTAAGTTTAACATAAGACTTGTCGAACCTTCTTCAATGAAAGATGTTGTGCTACCAAAGACGGAAAGGATGGACTCATTATTGAGATGATTTTAATAGCATATTAAATGAGCTTGTTCTTGAAGGTCATTCATGATGAAATAACTGTTGTAGAAGATGTTAGCAATTGTTCAGACATTTTGAAGCGTATAGATGATATAAGAAATAAGTTAGATAGACCGCAAAGCGGTGAGGGCGAAGCCCGTGAGAACGCTTATGTTTCATTGACTTTCTCCAGTAACGAGAACTTTTATGAGATAATATTGAAGAGAGATGATTTTAATATGGTGTAAATGGTAGCTTGGGCAGCTTTAGGCGCAATGGGAACAAAAGCATTAGCATTTGGAGCAAAAGCACTTGGAGCTTATGACGCAGTAAATAAAATGAGTGGAGGAAGAGTTTCGAAGACATTAGATGCAAATAAAGGAAAGATTGGAGGCTGGGTTGCAAAGAAGTTAAGATTAAATAAAATAGGGCTCATAAATAAAGCATCCAATTTGGTTGCGACTGAGTCAGAAAATGCTTTAGGAAAGGACGATGAGTTTGCAAAACACGCAAAAGACTTTAATGACCAGATGAAAGGTGAAACAATGCATTTAAATAGAGTCGATGGAACTAAAGAAAATGTTTCTTCTCCACAACTTCCACCAGTAGTTCTTCCGTATGGTCCCTATGGAATGTATGGAAACCCTTACGAAAGACCATTTGACCCATTGACTGGTGGAAGTAACTGGTATCATTACGGACGAAGAAGAAAGACAGTCAAGTTGGAGACAGACGTGAAGAAAGCAACTAAAAAGAAACCACGGAAGAGAGTTATAAAGCAATGAATTCAACAGGGTGAAAAAACAGGTGAAAAAAGAGGTGAGATTTCACCACTTCACCTAAATTTATTTTTGTGCTATGTTTTCATACGTGTGAGGGTGGTGATATCATTAATTTTTAAGTTTATTTTTTATTTTATTTTTTATTTTATTTTTATATAAATGACGAAAACTATTGAGATAACAAACTACAACGGTCATGAGTTCAAGAATTTGTTCTTCGTTCCTCGTGAAAATACATTCTATCAGATACGAGGGAGAAAGGGTAAAGTTAGTTTGAGCGTTTACGACAACAAACATAATGGGAGATATATAAAAGCAATAGATACAAACGGTAAGCGTGTTTCATTAGCTTTGTCAAAACTTACTAACATTTATTTTGACAGTGAGTTTGACTCTGACGATTGGAGTGACAGCAGCGATACTGAAGAATATGAACTATTGTGTGAAGCACAGCAATGGGAAGCGCTGCAATACTTTTGTAAATGAGAACATTAGTGGGAACGTTAGTGAGAACGTTTATTTTTTCATTAGTGAAGTCGTTAGCGAAAATGTTAGTGAGGTGAAGTGGTTGGCGGCTTTGTAAATATTTAAGGTTAAGTTAGTGTTGTCGTTTGTGTTGTAAAATATACGTTAGTGGTTTTGTAAAGTGTCAAACCGTTATCTTGGGTAAGGTGGAACGCAGTGCCGCCGTACCCAAGATAGGGATACTAACTTTTGCTCAAATGTTGGTGGATTTGGTTTTCTGCCGCGACTAACTTTTGGTAATTCGATTTCTTGAAGTTGAAATGCTCTTCTTATTGTATTTTCGGCAACATTCAATTTAATTTTACCATTTTCCAATTCAACTTCCTTTCCTACACTTTTGTAAGATTCACCTTCTTCTATTCTTCTTTTAGCTTCAAATAGCCATTCTCTGCTTATAGATTTGGCAGTAGTCATAAAAGTGGTCCTTCTTTTGTGATAAGATTCAAATTTGAATGTGGATGATAAATAAAAATCAAAAATAATTGTTATAATTTAAATGAAGAAGTAATTTAAAACGATTTTATTTATGATCAAATTTTATATATTTTTTTGGATCAAATCCATTTTAATAGAATTTATATACTATTCATCTATTAGTAAACACTACCGTATATTATTTTTTAAGCTATCTTATTTTTTGAAGTTTTATTCAAATCTTTGGTCGCAAGAAGAATTGCATGATAAATAAAAACATTTAATCAAAGTCAATTTTATTTTTCATATTCAAATGGACTGAGTGTTAACATTTAACATTTTTTGCTAATTGTCGTCAAAAATTAGGCGTAAAGCAAAAATTGATATTTCATATGGTTTTATGATAGATAAGCATTATATTCCCACTCATTATATTCGTAAATTTTGAGGTTTATCCTTCGCTTTTAAGATCATTGAATTTGATTTTTATATAAAATAGTTATATATTAGAAAATAATATGAGTTTATGTGATATTATTTTTCAGAAGATTTTGTGTTCTTCTTCAAAATTTTATTTTTTATTAAAAAGAATCCTTACAAAATATACATTTACTTTAATTAATATTTAAAAACGTGCTCTATCAAAAGTTCCAAAATTTCAATATTTTAGCTTTTCTGAGGTGTCACTTTTGATGAATTTCTGTTTACAACAAAATGATTCGAAAAGTCCGATTTTAGTGATTTTTTTAGCAAGTTTTATACTTTTCAATTAAAAAAATCCGAGTTATTTTTATATAAATAATGATTATAGAATTGATTTAACTCTTGTTCCATAAAATTTGAATTTGGACAAAATTGAAAATCATTGAAAATCATTGAAAATCAAAAATCAAAATTCAAATATTTGCCTTATTTATGAATTCTATGTTTCAAATGCAAAATAAATCTTCCGATAAACTCTCACAAAATAATTTTGAAGTGGTTGATATACTTATCAATTTAATTATTTTAAAAATGATTTATTATCTTTAATTATGCTTCAAAATCTAAATTAATTATATCTGTAAGTCCTTTTGAATTATAACAAATTATGACATAATGTTGATTTATATTAGATCACTCATTCATTTAATGCAACTTTCATATTTTATTATCCAAAGTGACGGTTTTCTAGATATTAATATAATAACTCAGAATATGATATATAATAATATTAATTCAAAAATTCATCTGTAAAAATATCGGTAATAATTTCGATAACTCACTCAAAAAATGTCACGTTTTATTCATAAGTCAATTTTTGAAATATGTCTGAATTCAATTTAATTAAAACTTTTAAATTAAATTTAATGAATTTAGTTTGTACTATCAGAATTACATATAAAGGAAATTATCCCGCATTTAATTTAATAATTTTTACTTTTCGTTAATTTAAATTTTCCGAATTTCTTCACACGTTCACATATATTGGATTAAAACATCAACGCCAATATGTTTTTCATATTTTGATGAAATAAATCTTTAGTTTAAATTTATCAATCTCTAATCCGTAGGAAAAATGGAATATATCACTTTCCATGTATCACAATATGCATTTTCAATAATCCAAATTTCATTTATCCCATATATCATGATATTTGAAAAGTCTCTCCTATAATTCATTTATTAATTTGATCGGAGTATAAATTTCTTACAGCATACAATAATTCGTTAAAATGAGTAAAAATTCAAATATTTAATTAATGTGTGTTATTTATTTGTTGCATTTGTTAATATATCAAATTCGATGGTTGAATATTTGGTTATGATACATTATGCACACTGGCTCTCAATCGTTACGAAAAATAGAAACAGAATTGGAAATCCGGAAAAAATAACGATAAAGATGATTAGTAATTATAACATTGAATTACCTTACAAATTGTATTGCAGTTATTATTAGAATTTTTACTATTTTTAGAGAAAATTATTAAATTCTTTATCTCTTGTCCTATGGGAAAATAATAGCCGGTAGTTAAGATGTCTTTGTATAATTGTTTCGGTTTTTTAGCTGGATTATATATATAATTCTAATTAATTCTTGTTTATTAAAAAAAATGAAACATTTTGATATTTTTAATATCCGGTTACATATAAAATATTATTTTCACTCATCTTTCTTTGGGATAGTTATAATTCTTTTTGCACCTTCATCATCGGAAGAAGAAGACGATGACGATGAAGAAGATTTCTTCGATTTCTTGGATTTAGAAACAGATTTAGACTTAGATTTCATTGAATCTTCCTTATGAGACTTAGGTTTCATTGATTTGGATTTAGATTTCATGGAATCTTCTAGTTTCAAGTCTCTTTCTGCAACGAAAATTTCATCTTCGTTGTTCTGATCTTTCTTGGATTTAATCTCATCTTCATTTTCTTCAACTTTCTTTGCCTTTACGACTTTACGACGTTTAGGAGTTAATTTCTTATGATTCTTGAAAATTGCATCATCCATGTTGTTTTCTTTCTCGTCTTCATCCAACCATCTTGATTTCTTCTTCATCTCTTCAGAAGCGATGCTTTCTTTCTCATCATCGCTACTGGAGATGTCGTTTCCATGTCTCTTTGGTGTTGTTATTAAGTTCTTTCTTGGAGAATAAGTTGGTTGTCTGGAGCGTTTGATTTCAGCAATTTCTTCCATCTTCCTTCTGTTTTCAAGAGTCCTTCTTGGAGAATTGATGTTTGTTGCAAGATAGAGTTCTTCAGCAACTCCATCATTCTTATCATTGTCTTCTTTAAGAGGGGACAAATACTTCTTGTTCAACTTCGAATTCTTGTGGTTGTTATACCATCTGACTTTCTTCTTAGGTTCGGAAGAGTCTGAATCGGAATCAGATGATGAAGAAGAAGAACTCATTTCTTTCAAGAACTTGTGATTTGAATAATCAACTTTCTTTGAAGGAGAATCCAACTTTTCGCCTTCATCATCACTGTTATCAGCATTAGAAACAGTTCTCTTTGTAACAGGCTTCTTCGGAGCATCTGAAGGAGGTTTGTCATTAACTTTATCATCTTCAACATCTGCGAGATATTTGTGTTTCTTCTGTGTAACTGTCTTTGTGAATTTGACTCTGAGTGTAACTTTTCCTGCATCCTTTGATTTGTCCTCGAGATCCTTGTAGATAGGAACAACGACTTCTTTCTCTTGTTCATCGAGATATTCATCTAAAGTGATGAAATTGCGTCCGATGAAGTCGTTCTGAGTATTCCTATCATAATCGTAGACTTCAACGTGTAGTTTGCGGCCCTTTGGAGTGTTGTCATCTATTTTAGGATCATTGAAATCGAAGTCAAAGTGTTCATCCCAAACAGGAGATCTGTTGTTGTTAATAATCTTTGTTTGCTTCTTGAATTCTTCTGTTTCAGAAAGATAAACAAGTGCATATGGATCTGCACCTCCCAAAATATCAACTTGTGGTAAATCTTCTGCTTTGATGACATCTAAATCTAAGTGCCATGTAATGCGTTCTTTGACTGCTTCATTTTCTTCTTCATTGTCATCGAACAGGTTCTTCATTCTCTTCTTTTCGACTTCAAGAGATGGAGGAGGCTTCTGGAATGATGCCAAAGCTGTTGTTGTATCAACAACTTGTAAGTTCTCTTCTTCAGCAACTTTTGCATCAACTTCTTCTTGGTATTCTTCTGTAACAGAAACTTCTTCTTCAACAAGTTTGAATTCTCTGACATTGACAGGGATTTCAGCTTTTTCTTCATCTGTTATTGGTGTCCAGACTTCTACTTTCTTGTTGACTTTGTGTTTCTTGCTGACTAACACTGTCTTCTTCTCTTCTTCCTCTGATTTATCTTCTTCTTCCTTCATTGAAATTGTGGAATATTCCTTGAGTTCTTCCTCTTCGTCGCCTTCATTGAATTCGAAGACTTTTCCATCGATGACAATGAAGTTCTTCTCTTTAGGCTTCTCTGGCTTTTGGGCACTTGGTAATTCAACTTTGTCGCCTTGTTGAGTCAACAAAATTGATAATCTTACTGTTCCTCTTTCCTTTTGAATCAAAGCCTTCTTCTCGAGTTTGACTTCTTTTTCGACTTTGTTTTCAAACTCGAATTCCTTAAGAGCTAATTCGCAGCTTCCAACTAAGTCGTCTTCTCCTTTATCATCGTGATCATAGACTTTGATATGGAGAACATCAGAGTCTTTGTCTTTGATAGGAATTGAGAAATCTTTGTTCCATGCTGGTGTTCTGTCGTTTTCAATGACATCTGTCTTGTATTCTTCTCCTTCGTCATTCAACTTGAGAACACAGTATGGATCGCAACTCATGTCAATATCCATGACAGGAAGGTCCTTTGCATCAATGACAATTACTTCAAGCTTTGGTTCGAAAGCGACATCTCTTGTCTTGTGAGATTTATCGGCTTTTTCATCATCGCTTGATGAACTTGTCAACTCGATGAAAGCTTTCTTTCCTTCGTCTTCTGACTCGGATTCGCCTTCTCTATCTGACTTGAGAGTGAGCTTGAGATGCAATATTCCTCTATTCTTTCTATGGCCTCCTTCTTTCTTCAATTCGATGTCTTTCTCGACAGGAACATCGAATGTGATGTCATCGAGTTTGACTTCGCCATTTCCAATCAAATCATGGTCGTTGTCATTATCCCAGTCCATGACAGTTACGTAGAGAACATCGGATTTCTGGTCCTTGACGTCGAACTCGAATTCTTCGTTCCATACCGGATTCTTGTTCACTTTAATGACATCTGTTTTCTCTTCACTGTCATTAAGTTTGAGAAGGACATATGGATCTGATTTTCCATTTGTATCCATTGCAACTAAATCTATTGCATTGACAACATTGACGACCAATTTGACTGTCTTCGGCTTCTTCTCTTCTTTCTTTGATGCTGGTTTGACTTCTTCTGTTTGTTTGTGAATGAAGAGTTTGAGTTGAATTGATCCACGCTTCTTTCTCATTCCTCCTTCTTTCTTCAATTCGATGTCTTTATCAATGACTTTGTCGAGCTCGTATTCGTCGAGTTTGAGTTCGCAGTTGCCAATTAAGTCATCGTTGTTGTCATCATCGTGATCGAAAACAATGACGTGTAAAACGTCTTTGGACTTGTCTTCGAATGGGATGTGGAATTCCTGGTTCCACTTTGGATTCAAGTCGTTCTTGATGACTTCTGTCTGGTAAACTTCGCTTGATCCGTTTAAGGAGAGCTTGCAGTATGGATCTGACTTTCCAAGAACGTCCTTTCTTGCGAGTTCTTTAGCACTTACAACTGTGATATCTAAGACATATTTATCTTTAGGTTGTTCTTTCTTATCTTTGTCTTCGTCATCGGATGATGAAGATGAAGAAGAAGATGATGATTTCTTGGTTGTCGCAACAACTGGAGGTTCAACAGCTTCCGCTTCTTTTTCTTCCTCTTTCTCTTCTTCTTCTTTTTCTTCATGTAAAACTAATTTAAGATGAACAGTGCCTCTCTCTTTTCGATGACCACCTTCTTTCTTAAGTTCAACGTCTTTCTCGACTGATGAATCAAGTTCTAAGTCAGAAATTGTGAGTTCATTTTCACCAATGAGATCATGATCGTTGTGTTCATCCCAGTCCATGCATTTAACATGTAATTTGTCGGATGACTGATCTACAACTTTCAATGTGAATGTTTGGTTCCATTCGGGATTCTTGTTCTTCTTGACAACTTCTGTCTTGAACTCTTCAGTATCATTAAGGCTCAAAATAACATATGGATCTGATTTTCCATTAAGATCCATCGCTGCTAAATCTGTGGCTTTGACAACTGTAACATCGAGTAATAACTTCTTTGGTTTTTCTTCTGGTTTTGGTTCTGGTTCTGGAGCTGGAGTTTCAACAGGGACAGGAATTTCAGCAGGTTTTTCTTCTGCTGGTTCCTCAACAGGTTGTTCCTCTTTCTTTTCCTCTTCGTTCTTTGGTTCTTCAGAAACTTTACGAATTGTGAACTTGAGGTGAACTGTTCCACGATCTTTACGAAGACCTCCTTCCTTCTTGAGGTCGATATCCTTTTCAATAGGAGTGTTAAATTCGTAATCTTTAAGATCGAGTTCGTAATTTCCGATTAAATCGTTTGCGTTGTTATCATCCCAGTCGTAGCATGTAATATGTAATTTGTCTTTAGATTTATCTGCAATAGGAATACCATTAAAGCTTTGATTCCATTCTGGATTCTTATTTTTCTTAATAACGTCTGTTTTGTATTCTTTTCCTTCTCCGTTGATTGTTAATACACAGAAAGGATCAGCCTTTCCATTTGCATCCATCATTGGAAGGTCTTTTGCATTAACGACTGTAACATCAAGAACAATTTTTTCTTCTTTCTTGATTTCCTCGTGGAATTCTTCCTCTTCTTCTGGGACTTCATCTGATTTCTCAAGTTCTTCGTCAGATGATCCATCAAGAACATCAGGATCCTCATCATTTTCTTCATAAGATCTAGTTTCAGTATCTGAGTCTGATTTTGGCTCATCGACCTTGTGTATTGTAAGTTTAAGCTGGACATTGCCACGATCTTTGCGGTGGCCACCTTCCTTCTTTAATTCAAGATCTTTTTCTGTAGTTTCTTCGTATTCTAATTCACTAAGTGAAACTTTAGCAACGCCGATAATATCATGGTCGTTGTGATCATCCCAGTCGTAGCAAGTAACGTATAATGTATCGTTAGATTTATCATTGATTTCAAAGTGGAATTCCTGGTTCCATTGAGGCTCTAGAGTTTCTTTAATAACTTTTGTCTCTAATTGCTCGCCTTCTCCGTTGATTGTCAAAATGCAGTACGGATCTGCTAATCCATTCTTATCCATTTTAACAAGGCCCTTTGCGGACACAACAGTAACGTCTAGCTTAGCCTTTTCTTGCTTAGCTTCATGGTGATCAGATTCATCTTCTTCTGATGAAGATGATGACGAGGAAGAAGAGGATGATGATTTCTTTTCCTTTTTCTCTTTCTCGAAGTCGTTAAATTTGTTTTCAACGTCGTTTGGTTTTGTTGGAGAAGGTGGTAAAACAACTGGCTCATCATCAACTACTGTTGATGGTGTAGATGATGTTGACGAATTATCATCAGAAGTTCCTTTTCTTTGATCGACTGTAATTTTGAATTTGATTTGAATTTTTCCTGTTTCTTTATCATCTTTTACAATAGGAATTATTTCGTTGTGCTCTTGTTCGTCGTTGAAATCGCATAAATTAATCATTGCACTTCCAATTAAATCATCCTTTCCGATATCATCGTCCATAACTTTCAATTCGAGATAATCCTTTTCGGAATCAACCTTTTTAATTGTAAATGTTTCATTCCAAACAGGATTTAAGTCATTTTCAATGATTTTGGTTTTATCTCCTTTAGAATGACTGCTCACCTTAAGATTACAATATGGATCTGCTTTCCCATTAACATCGGTTGGGGTCAGATTCTGGCCGCTTAAAATAGTAATCTCTAGTGTGGTGTGCTTTTTGCTCATTCTTGTATAAATCAGTTAAAACGTTAGGCACGGTTAGGATTGAATTTTATAAATTTATTACACGTGTGTTGAACAATAGCTAAATGGGAGACCTTGTAGAAGGTTATTGTCTTCCCTATGATGTAATTATGAACTACTTCGTATGAGTTCGGAAAATTCATTTTGAACATGTTAAAATACTTTTTATCGGCGTTCATTTTTGAACAAATTAGTTGTCCAAGTCAATGGAAATTAGAGTTGCTTTTTGTTATAGAACAATAGCTGTAAGCAAATAATATTTCTAATAAAAGTGTTGTTTTCAGCAGCATTTTTTGAAGAATTTGAAGTACTGGAAGAGAAATTAACTGCACGGTGGTTAAATTCCTTATATCATTAATGTTGTCATGATATCTTCTTCAATTGGAGGATAAGGAATAGTTTTCCTGATACGATAAACCATATTTTGGATGTCCAATTTATCAGTGAGCTTATTGATGCTCAAAATTACTTTTATGACAAAAATGATTTGAATATTGCTTACAAACATCGATTACATACGCTAATTTTTAGTGATTTAGTTATTACATAGATTCAACAGGAAAGTGAAGAGGGAATGTAATAAAAAGAAATCTTCAATTTACAAGATTTTGTCAATTTTCCTTAACGTACAGTTTTAGATTTTGATGTCGCAGTCACCTCAAAGATCACTCCATATGTCCGATTTGCAGAGTCCTAAAAAGTCAAAAAGAGAGAGGGAAGCTAGCGATATCGATTTTTCTGCTCAATGCGCTGCTTCCAATAAGGAAATTGAGTCTCTCAGATACGACATTCAACTCTTGATGACAAAAGCCCACGCATATTGCAAAGATACAGGAGTAAGCACAGATGGACCAATTCTCCCATCAACTCCTCCAAGATATTCATGTTCTAATGTTTCAACACCAGGATCGCCGTTTTCAATGAATGGATCTTTCATGAATTCATCAAGTAGATCAAGAAAATAGTTAATACTTGTTTGATTGTTATAAATGTTTTACAGTTCAAATTTTTTGTTCAGATAATAAAGGAAATCTATTCATTTTTTATAATTTATGATCAGATGATCCTTAGGTTAATCTAAGACTACAATTCGTAATCCCTATTGATTGAAATTATGCGAAAAGGGAGAGATCATAACTACCAAATTACCATTTTTAAGCATTCATGTCACAAGTCATTAATATTTTATAACTTTCACCATAGAATTATGGTTGAGAAATTTTTACACGGTTTCAAGTAATGCCACTTTTTGTTGTCTCAATTTGGGCGATTATTCTGATGTTTACAAAAAAACTTTTATGTTGATTCACTTCTTAATAGTATCAAATTTATAGTATATCTGTAGATTTCTGATATAGCAATAAACGATAATTGTAAACGATAAAAATTTTCTTATCTCAAATGTTTCCAAGCCCTTTTCAGCTTGGTACAAATTATCAAATCAAAGATAAAGTGCACAAGCGAACGCTTACATTCAGGGAAAATTCTCCTTCCATGGATTTTAGCCTGAAAAGGCGTTCAAATTCAGTAGATCAACAACAAGAAAAAGATGAGGGTAAGGCCTTTTTAATGCCAAAAAGTTCCCTTCCTCCTAAAGCTAATAAATACTTCTTCATTGACAAAGAACCATTAACTCATCAGCAACTGTTAGCACAAATTTCAAAGCTTTCAAATGTTCGGATTTTTAGAGTTGCAGTTTGTTTAAACTTACGTCCAGCAAATATAGAGACACTTAAGTTTTTTATATCGCGAATTTCTCTTACCGATGAAATGATGTTAGATAAAGTTGAAAAAGCTTTATCAATGGCAACAACAAAAGTAACTCCAGGAGTTCAAGGTCCAATCAACCCATCATCTACAGATTATCCATTTTTCGATATTCGTTACAAACCTTTTGAAAATGGCCCAGCAATCACAGACAAACCGATTGATATGGGTTTAGCACCTGTAACTTTCTCTTTTCAGATCCCTATTTTGCCTCCAGATATCAGAATTATTCTTCAATCTTTTTTGGTCGGAGTATCGCCTCCAATGGTTCGCTGGCCACAAACTCTTTCAATATTCGTTAATAATTGTCTTATAAAGCCTCAAGGAATTTTTAATTGTATGTTGATTGATCTTAGTCAGTTTCCTCCTGGCAGTATTGTTACAATAACAAGCGCACAAGAAACAGCTCAGTACAAATTTATTGTCCGTTGTGCAAAATATTACACTTACAACGTTATTATTCAATCAATCAAGGCTTTTCCAAATAATGAGTATTTTAATGAAGCTGAACTATCATTAATTTGCCCACTTACTGGTCAGCCTCTGAAATTCCCAGGAAAAGGCAATCATTGCAGACATACCCAAGCATTCAACTTGAAAGCTTACTTAAAGAGAGGAGTATCAACAGGTAAATGGTACTGCCCAATTTGTGGTAATTATTCTCCACTAGAAGCTTTAATTTATTCATTCAAAACAGAAGAGGCCCTAAATCTCGTTAAAATGTCTAGACCAAAGCCTCAAAACTACAGTGGAAGTCCACAAGTTATGCCGCCGTCCGAACCACCGCAGCAAAATATTATGTCTCAAGTTTCTCAAACTCAGCCAGGAACTCCTGAACCTGAACCTCCAAAAAATGAAAATCCATTTGATTTCGAACTTAATGATAGTATATTTGATGATGAAGAGAAAGAATTTTATGATTTCTATTAATCCTACGACTTTTTTTGGTTCTAATTTATGTTTTTATTTGTTTATTTTTCCATGATATTAATTACATTTAATTTTTATTATAAATATTGATGTTTTCTTGATTTTTCAGATATTTTTCGGAAAAAATTAAAAGTTATTGTTTGTAACTTTAGTATAAATATCTTGATATTATGCCTATTTGAAATATAGATTAGTTATTCCATAACTCAAAATCAACGAATAAATATTGAATTAATTTATTAGAAAGAGAAAGGAAATTTATTATTATCTTAATTGTAGATGTAAAAAGATTAGTAATTTTTGTTACTGAGCAAATGACTCCTGAAACATTTACAATTTTTAGTTGAGGGCCTTGACAAGTGGTGGGCGAACAACTGTGTAGGAGACCTTCTTGATGAAGACCTTGCTGAAGTTCTTGTTGCAAAGAGCAACAGCCTGTGGGAGTGTTTGCTTGGATAACCAAAGCTTGTATGGCCATGTGAGGACGTAGCAGCCAGCGCCAACAATGCCGGAGACAACGCCTTCAACTGCACGCTTTGGCCAGAAGCCGTTGACCTTTGGAACAATCATTGGGTTGATGACATCGGCAGAAACCTGATCTAAGCCGTTCTTGACTGTATGGTAGACAGCCTGATCGAGGAAGGAATCCTTGTAGCCCTGGAATGGCTTGACGCCTTTCTTGCGGGAGTTCTGGAGTGGTGTGCCGAAGAGGCGTGTAAGAGCCCACATTGGAACACCTGTGGAGGCACCGAATAAGAATGGGTGCTTCTTGGCCCAAGCAGCAGCACCTGGGACAAGAAGGATTGTGTTCTTGGAGAGTTCCTTAGCAACCTGCTGGACACCAGAGATGGCGCAAAGGTCACGGAACTGTGGAGCTGTGATGTTAGCAGCTGTAAGCTTCTTGCCCTGGGCGAGTGTGAAGAGTTCGCCGCAGATGCCTGAGATGTAGCCGGCACCGAATGTGCAAGCGTAGGACTTGAGGTGGGCCTTGTTGAAGAGAGATGTGACTGGGCACTGGCACTTTGTGCACTGAGCTGGAGCAACCTTTGCTGGGGCTGGCATTATGTTTTTTACAGAATCAGTAAACGATAAACACCATTCAAAATTGAATGTCTATTATTTGATCGCTAAGTGGTCAAACATTCTTTCCAAAATATACAATGGACATTAAAATTGTAATAAACAGAAATTCATCAAAAGTGACAGCTCTCAATTTTTTGACATTTGTAAATTCTAAATTGAATGAGAAAAATGAAATAATACTAAGCATAATACAATATTCTAGATTTAATTATAATTAGGAAAAAGTTAGTTTTGAGAGTACTTTTCATAGGCATATAGAATGAAATCTTCTGAAAAATAATATCACATAAACTCATATTATTTTCTAATATATAACTATTTTATATAAAAATCAAATTCAATGATCTTAAAAGCGAATGATAAACCTCAAAATTTACGAATATAATGAGTGGGAATATAATGCTTATCTATCATAAAACCATATGAAATATCAATTTTTGCTTTACGCCTAATTTTTGACGACAATTAGCAAAAAATGTTAAATGTTAACACTCAGTCCATTTGAATATGAAAAATAAAATTGACTTTGATTAAATGTTTTTATTTATCATGCAATTCTTCTTGCGACCAAAGATTTGAATAAAAGTTCAAAAAATAAGATAGCTTAAAAAATAATATACGGTAGTGTTTACTAATAGATGAATAGTATATAAATTCTATTAAAATGGATTTGATCCAAAAATATATAAAATTTGATCATAAATAAAATCGTTTTAAATTACTTCTTCATTTAAATTATAACAATTATTTTTGGTTTAAAGCAGCATTCATAAAAAATCCTAATTAGTTTTTTTATTTCTGGAAACAAGTAAAATAAAAATGTTTAATGCTAAAAAATAATAGTAAAGTTGATTAATCATATTCAACAACTTCCTCTTCCTCATAAACTTCTTCGTACAAGTGAGTACTGCTACTTTCCTTTTCATCAGCAGGAGGTGGAGCAGGTTTACTTTCCTGCTTCTTTGATACTGTTTCTGATTCAGATACTTCCTCTTCTTCTAAGACAACTTCTTCCTCTTCATCCTCTTCATAACTATCTTCAGAGTTAGTCTGAATTGAGCCTGTCTCATTGCTCTGTTCTTGAATACTCTGTATGCTGCTGCTGAGATCAACATCTTCTGGTGCTGCAATAGGAACTCTTCCTTGTCCGCTGTTCATCATCTTCTCGAAGGCAGCGATTGCATCACTTCCTGCCTTAGAAGACATTATCCTGGACTGTGTTGGCCTTGGAACAGAAATGGCGCTTGTCTTATTAGATCCGCCTTGTTCGCCATCACGTGTTGATGTGTCGAAGATGTCGGCGGTTGGTTCGCCAGTTGGTAAGCGGGAATCTGAGTCTGGTGGAAGAGGCTTCGATTGGCCAGACTTCATTGACTTCATGTACTTCGAAAGTGCATTGGATGTGCCTTCTAAACGCTCGGCAGTTAACGATGGATTGTCGATTGTGCCTGTCATCGACTCCGGGCTGAGATCCTTGGAGCAGAGTGTGGCATATCCATCGCATTTGTCGGCATTGACTTCGCGGTCCCTGAGTTTGGAGGAAATCATGAGAGCGGAAAGTCTTTCGGCAAATGATTTTGTAGGTGCACCACGAGCTCTGTTTTCTTCGCGGGCCTTGATGAAGAGTTCATCAACCTGCTTGCGTTTTGGATCTTCTGGCTTCTGTGGTTCGTCGAAGAAAGAATCATGAGAATCTGTTTGCCTTGTATGGGTATGTGTACGTGAATGTGTATGTGTGTGTGACCTTGAATGTCTTGATGATGGTTCTGCATCGATGTTTGGTTTCGGTAATTTGTTCTTTGGATTTCCAAGGCGATCGTATTTCTCTTCGACTGTATTTAATGCAGTGAATGTATTAGATTCCTCACGAATATCGCGTGAGCGGTGATGATGCTTATGCTCTTTCTTCTTTGGTGGTTCTGGATCTGTTGTAACGAGAAAACCAGTGAATTCATTTTCGTTTGAGTTAAGGAAATCACCTGTAGTGAAATTGTCCTTATCTGGAACTGTGTATTTCTTTTGCTTTGGTTCTGGCTCGTTCAAAGTTGTTGTATGATAAACAGTAATTCCACATCCGTCGACAATAGAGTGGAAAAGTTGTTCTGTCTCGTGAAGTCCTAAGCGACGTGCAGTCCATGCTGGATTATGCTCTTCATGAATATATTCATTTGTTTCCTTTTGTGCCATAGCAAATGAAACATCCATTTTGTGCTTTGCAAGGAAATTGGCAACATATTCACTGGCAATTCTCTGAGCAAGAGACTTTTTTGGTTCTATGAAAGGTCTGATTTTTTTCTCTAAGTTATGAGAAAGTGATTGTGCAACTGCCTTATTATAAATGCGTACAATATGCTGCTCACTTTCAGCATCATCAATAATGCCATGTCTCTTCGCTTTCATGATTTTCGTTATATGTCAGTTATGATGTAAAGCATAGAAATTATTCTTGATACTGAATCCTATGATAAATACTCATGAATTGGAAACAAAGACTGATAAGTTATGATCTACTACTATTTTGAAGCCAATATCTTTAACCTTACTCCATTATAATGAATATTATTATTTATATAAAAATTCAGATGTGTAATTGTTCAAAGAGATATGAAAAGATAGCATTTCTCTATATCTGCTTATGATATGACCACATTGTATTATAAAAAATAGTAATACTTTATATCCAAGAAGAAATTAATTAGGCTGATTAGATAGTTCTTCGTGGATATTGATATTGTGAGAATTCTAGCCCATTCGTGGTAAGCATATTGTTATAGTTTTAAAATTCAAAAATATATTCTTAAATAATTAGTAAAAAATAAAGAATTATCCGCAGATAACTAATCTATAACTCGTTTGAAGATAAAATTATTGCATCATTAAAGCTCTAGGTTTAGATTTAGGAAAAAATAACGTATGTAATTAAAAATAAGCCAAATTCTAATTTTTTATTTAGTCTATGGACAATCTACTCTAATGTCCTCCGCGACCACTGCGTCCGCCACGGCCACCACCGCGGCCACCGCCACGACCACCACGGCCGCCACGGCCGCCACCACGTCCACCACGCTTTGGTGCCGGGGCATCATCAGTATAGAAGGATTCTGGATGGCAACGATTTTCTGGAGCATAAATCTTATCACCAACCTTTAACTTTTTGAGGTAGCTATTATCTTCAGGAACAAGATTGAAGCGAACATCTGTGAGTGGACCAAAAACGTCTCCTACTTTACCTACTTTGTTTTTATTTGCATCCATAAGGAAGGTTTGTGTGAGTGGAACAACATTATCTTTAGATGAGAGATGATAAACTGCAGTATTATTTGCGAGATATTCGAAGGTACCAATTTCGATTGTATTACCGTTGTCAAATCCGCCATCGCGGCCACCTTTGTTAAATCCAGAGTTGCCACCACGGCCGCCGCCACGACCACCGCCGAAACCACCACGATTTCCGCCGGCACCGCCGCGCCCGCCGCCGAAGCCGCCACGACCTCCACGATTCATAGAATGGTCTCTCAAACCCCTTAAATTGTGAACATTACAAAATTAACTTTCTAGTGTCTTCCTATTTGGATGCTTTTTTCGTCTTCTCCGATTGATTGTTCGCATCCCTTCTTGAAATATCGGCAATTTCTCCATGAATTTTTAACATTCGATTTCAAAACTGTCAATTCAAAGTTGAAATGATATAAAATAGATATATCTAACCATAACATGAATATTTATTTGTGTTCCAATTCTTTTCTCAATAGAGATTGATTTCCAATCAGTCATTCCTTTGTTTCATAACTTGATACCATCTACAAAGTTACGATGAGTTAATGGTACTATACCAATGCCTCCATGACGTTAAATAATTGATCAAAACATGAATCGAAATTTCTTTTACATAGATAAATGTTCATCTGTATGAGACGAAAATTCCAGAACTTTTTATGTGTATTTGATGTCAAAAAAGTGATCAATTTATTTTTGGAAGGATTATGGAGGAAGATTACAAAACTTCCCCCTCGACACAAGGAATGGATATTGAACGAGAAGATAATAAAGTGGCAGAAGAAGTAGTAAATATCCTTCTAACAAAATTTCAAATACTTAATGATCTAATTTTAGAATTTGGTTCAAATATAAACTTAGCAGAGCAAATATCAAAAGAATTGGATGAAACTGCAGGGTATTTGATTTCAATTCCAAAAAATAAGCAAAATTTTATTCTTGAAAATTTAGAGTATCAACATATCGGTAACACAATGAAAATAATAGAAATAATTGCCTCTTTTAGTGAGATTTCACCTGAATTTAAAGAATTAATCTCAAAAGAATTGAAAATTATAGACATTTTATCATCAATTGAAGAGTTTTCATTTTTAAACCTAAGCCAGTATGCTGACTTATTTATATTTCAGCACCTTTCAATGAATTTCACTCATGATGAAGATATATTCACACGAATTTTGTCAATTATCAGAAAATCACTATTTTCAGATGCTGCAGATATAACTGTATCAATACTCTCTATAGAAAATGTGCTTGATCTTGTTTCACATGAGCATGATTTATTTTATGGAAAAAATCTTGAAAATATAATTATGATAACTTTTTATTATGCAAATCATCCAGAATTTGATCCTTCTAATTTAAGTTTTGCAATCATATTGATTTTCATTAAAGATGACTTCGAAGATCCGACTTCTTTGTGTTTCTTCTTTTGGTCAATTTATTATCTTATAAATGGAGATAGATTTGACTATGATCATATTGATGATTTGTTTTCTTTCTTAGATCGAAGTTTGCATCATTTAAATTTCGAAACAAAAGTATTATTAACACAAGTACAGCAAAGATATCTAATTCCGCTACTTAAGATATACTCAACACTGTCTATCAAAGGAATATCAATTCCTGCTCTTGATCCAACACTTTTAGTAAGAATTATGCAATTAGCATCTTCTGATTTATTTAGTGAATGCGAGAATTTGATTTTATTGAATATTATTCATCGAAGTCCTGAAGAAAGAGTCGATTTTATGAATTATCTTATTGGAAATTCCGGAGAGATTGAATCTTCAAAAAAGGAAAACATTTTATATATTATTGCATCAATAATTAATTCTCTGAGTGATGACATTCTTAGAACAATTATTTCACCTGATCTCCTGGAATTCCTGTTTTCAACTCTTGATCAGCTTTCAATCGAAAGTCTCAAGGTGTGTATCAAGGCAATTTATAGATTATGGACATCACTAATACCTGTTTCTAATGTTCATTTAATGAAAGACTTTATCAACGAAAATGATTATCTAAGTTCATTTTCAGACATCTCTGAAGAAATTGAAGATGAGGACTCTATAGAAATACTTGATAAGATTATCGCTGAATGTTCTGATTAATATTGTTATGTTTGTTTGTATTACTAAAACTCTAATTCATAGATATATAATAGGCGACTATTCTTGTAGAAATTTGTGTATCAAATTCAATTTTAAACAATCGTTTTTGCCCATTTTTTTGCACCCTATGTAAAACCCCCAAATATTAAATGTGAAAGCTATCAGAACCACATGATCCATATTTCATTCTATAAATCATATGTATATTTTCTTGATCAAACGAGAGAATGCATTTGTTATGAATTGTTAATGATTCAATACCAATGATATGATGAAATATTAATCAAATCAACTAAGTTTAAAATGTTCCCAATTAGCAAGATTCTAGATATGACATTTATCTAGACTGGAAAGATATCCATCCATTACATTTAAACATTTCGAAAACATGTATAAAATGAAATATATTTACATAAAATGGTTATAAATAAAAATAAAATGATGTTGATCATCCGCAAATAATATCAACATCTTTCTCATGATGAGCGAAAAGAGCGCCAAGGTACCAACCAGTTGCAGCAGCACCGAAAAGAACTGTTGTCTCCAAAATCTTTGTCAACAGTTCAATAGTTGATCCATCCAAAACAACATCGAGTGTTTCGTACATCTTTGTCATCAGTTTTGCGCACTTTGTCTTTCTTACTTCGAAAGCAACCATTGGAACTCTCTCTTCAGGAGAAACAAGAGAATCTTTCTCGCGTTCTATTGCTTCATCCATTGTATCTAACATTCCATCTTCAAGAATGCAGTGTTGGTCATCACAATCAGCGACTTCCCATGGTCCGTCGTCTTCATTGTTATTTTCTCCATCATCATTCTTCTTTTCTTCCTCTGATTTCTGTTCTTTCTCCTCATTAACTTCGAGATGAATTTCATCTGTCTCTTTTTGATCAGTTGGAGCTGGAGGTTGTTCCTGGTCATCTGGAAGTAATAACTGCTCCATGTCGTCGCGGTGGTTGATTGCCAATGATGAGTTCTTACGAGATATGTTCTGTGTTACGACTTTTCTGATAATTGTTGGATCGTCTTCATCCTCCTTTGTTCCCTTTACATCATCAAAGCAAACGATGAAGAAACAGGACACAATTGGAAGGCCAAGAAGAAGGATCGTAAATGGAAGGGACATAACTTCAGGAATTTCATATCCGAAGTAAGAGATAACAACGATGATTGAGAATACAAGGTTGACACCTTCTAAAAGTGTTTCCAAAATGTTATTGAATTTATGGAGATAAGGAGCGAAGTACCAAGTGACGACGAACGAGAACAAGTAATAGAAAGGCTGAGCTACGATGAACGGTAGCCAGAGAATCTCCGAAATAACTTCAATAAGCATAGCAACCAGTTTCATTACAATTAGGAAAACGCACCAGTAGCAATGTGTGAACTTGAAGTCCTGGAAAATGAAAATACCGGTAGTATGAAGACGGTTTGTGATGGCTTCCCACTTATCTTCAGATGTGGCTCCGTAAACGTTGATATTCCTAACGAAACCTGTATTTCTGCGTACAAGTAAATACCACATGATGGGAATGCCAAACATAATGATGACCAACGTGTAAATTACAACACCGGCCATAATCCCCAAAACGTCGTCAACGAAGAGCAGAGCTGGGGAGGATTTCATGCGGAGCTGGTAGGTGCCTTTGCACATATCAACGCAAACTCCTGTAACGTGGCGAGCGCATGGTAAACATTCGACGGTTTTGTTGATGAATGGGTCAAGGAAATCTGTTCCTTGGTGCTTGTAGTAGAAGTAGTAGTCTGGATCGCAGCCTTGTGGCTTTGGAGTCATGTGATAAACTAAACACTGAATAATAGGGATATAAAGGACATCTAAGGCAAGCATTAAGAATCTAAGACCCCAACGTCTGATGAACTGTTTGATTTTAACTATAACTTTGCGGCCACATGGAAACATTTTGAGCATAAAAGCAATCCAACAAACAAAGCCTAGTGGTAGCAAAAAGATTGGTAATACAATACGTACAATCTCTGGAAGTTTGCCTGGATCGAAAAACAAGCCTAAGCAAACATATCCTCCAATAATAAAAGCAAGACCGAAAAATAGCCAAATTGCGGCCTTCCAGTAAACTCCCTTCTCCGGGACAATATCAATGAGTTTTGAAAATTTACGAATTTGTATGTTTAATTCTTTGAATGTGATAGATTTTTCTGATTGAGGCATAACATGGCTCATAAAGAATGAGCAAATGGATCTAACGAGGTCGAAGAGTTGCTCGTTCGTTTTGCTTTTGTTGTAAAACATTAAAACAATACGAGAAATAATATAAATTGCTGAAACAACGGTCCATGTTGTTGTTACGGAGTCAAATCCTACAACAATACCTGTAGTAAGAAAATATGTAAAGCATGCTAAGCCAATAACATCAATAATGTGCATAATTACATCATAAAACGGAAAAATAAACCAAATGAAAATAATATCAAGAAGAAGTGGAATACCAACTGAAAGTAAAACTAACTGGGATCTGAAATCAAAATCTGGAACATCTGGAACGCTTGCTTCTATGGTATTATAAAAATTAACCATAACTACAAGCAGTTTCTGAAGTTGTTTAGGAATTTTAACTCCATGGAAGTTAGCAGCTATACCAAGTCTTTGTACATACGTAAAAAGTGTGACAATGACCTGAGAATAGGATACTGCACCCATAAATTTTTAAAAAAAATTCAATAATTGACTCGGACTTTTTTTAATGCATTAATTGTATTGAAGAATGTATGTAGCATATATTTAATTAAAAACGTATCTTAAAATTTCGGAATGATTCAATTTTTTGTAGAACTTTTCAATAAGTTTACAATATGGCAGATAGAAGTGATATAAAAGGATTTACTTATAAATGTTAATGAGGTTGGTAAAGTCGGGATTAAGGTTCCCAAAAAAACTTTGAATGAAAAAATGATAGTTGTGTATTGGATGATGTAGTCGTGTACGTTTTTCAAACTTTTTTAGTTTTTCAAGACTGAAAATAAAATTGAATTCATACATCACAAAAGAGGTAGGGCAACGATAGGTCAAAAAGGCTTCTCTGATAGATTTCCTTGCCTTTTGGATATGCTATAATATATAGCCTAGCATGATAGGATATGATGTCAAAAGTTAGAACATAACTTAGGATCTTGAGAAAAATGAAAAACAAAAATTACATAAAAAAAGAAAAATTTTATCTAATTTGTTTTTTTGGACCGAATAAGTAATTTTATTGAATTTCAATACGACACATAGATTTTATTATTAGTAATAAATATAATGGTTTACTATTAACAAGGAACCTAAACTAATGAAAATTTGATTTCAAATATTGTATATGATTATCATAGATTACCAAAATATATTGCTATTTATGAGGATATAATATTGATTATTAGTAAATCGTATAAATTTAATAAATATACCATGAATATTGAATGAATTTCTTGATTCATAGGGGTAAAACGCGCTTTTATATGATTTAGACAGAGAATTTATGAGATGTAAATAACACAATAAAGGTTTATATTGAATATTTTCTAAAAATAAATCGAAATTATAAAAAACAATACATTTATTCATTGAAACTACTTGGATAAATATGAAACAAGCATTCAGGCAATACTTTTGAGACTTCAACGCATCTGATAATTTTTATATAACTTCACCTCTTATGCTTAGAGTGGAGGTATTGAGATCGTATAAGTATAGATGAGCTCACATTCAGATATGATGTGTGAACTTCTGTTTTCACTGCAATTTTGAATCAGAATAAACTCAAAACAAGAATAAAATGATATACTCACTCTCTAAATGTGTTCGAGATTTAAAGTTGTATGAATAAAACGATTCATCTTTCGAAGCCTCCCATTTAATGAGAGACTTCGAAAGATGAATGTATTCATGTAGATGAAATACTATATATGACCATGTGTGATACTAAAGATATCAAAATGTTCATTTTTAAGTGCAATAGAAGGGTTATCTCTCGTAAAATCTCAATTTAAGGAAGATTTAGAAAGAACTCCTTTCCTAAGTAGATAGTGTGTGGTTTCTGTCTTTTGGTTGATCAGGAACTATGAAATTAAGTCGGACAGAAAGAAGTTCTTTCCAAAACAGACTCCAAATGAGTTGTTCGAAAAGAACTTCCTTCTGTATATGGATAATTGTAGTTACCGCACTGAAGTATGTGATTGTGATGATGGAGTTCTCGATAAATCTAAAATCGGATTAAGATTAATTGAAAACTCAAGTAATTCTTTGAAATCTTGTGTTGTCTGGCACTATAATAACCAAAGAATGAGAATATTATGTTGAATGATGAGTACGTGTGCTCGGCATTCGCCGAGCGAATTGAGTTTAACGTACTATGAAAAGTGACAAATTTGGGCTTTTTTTCCTAGGGTTATGATCTCTTCCTTTCTGCTCAATACGACAGAAATGAAAGAATGAATTTGTACTCCCTAATTGATTACTACAATCTGTATCTATCTTTAACATAGAATTAGCTGCATTGTGATTTATACTCCAGAATTATTCAATTTAAGATCAACCTCGTAAATTTTAATCATATTGCACCAATACTCCTACGTTGAGATAAGAACATGATTATACATACCAAAGCCCCATATTAAAAATCAAAATTTAGCACCTCCATTATGCAACCACATTATTCGTCGCAAATAAGTATATTTACGCATATTATGATGCATATTCACACAACTCGTATACATGAAAAGTTATTAAAATCAGACAAAATTATTGCAATAAGGAAAAAAAAACAACTTTATTATATATGTTAGTAATGAATTACAAATATTTCTACAAAGAATGCTCAATACTTCATATAATCTTCGAATATTTCTTATTACAAGTTAATACATTTTGACTCGAACATGATAAACAAAAGCTGACACGCTGATTACTACATTTATGAAAATATAGTACGTTTCCATTCATCTGTTTACTTGTTTTTGTTGGAATAAAATCATTTTTTTTTCTTTCATGAAATAAGAATTTTGCTGCGAAAGCAATATCTCTAACAATAATTAATACATTACGTCAACTCTGGAATGAGTATTTATCAAATATGATATCAAAATCAAAAATTAGTTGTTTTTTATGAGTAAAAACGATGTAAATTGATTATTTGACTAATTATCAAATACTTTGATTTTCCAAATTTTTTTCGAAATTGATTTTTTCATGTGAAAATTCAAATTGTTTAATTTCATTTTTGAAATTTTGAATTTTTTTTGGAATTTTGAGTTGATCAATTCAGCAGAATTGATAATGCTATTGCTTTAGGGCATACCACAAGGTGATGAATAAAAGGTGAACATTAACAAATTATTTTAAATCACAAATATCATCCTCATCAACTTTAATTCTAAAAAGAACTGTACTGAATTATGAAAATGCATGATTTACATTATTAAAATCTTTGAATGAAAATAGTACAAGATAAGTTTTTATTCATTTTTAATTAGATTTAAACGAAAAACTACTCCATATTAAAATTTAAGTCGAGAAATCGTATTTTGTTCTTATTTGTTAGCATTTTGTAGACATTCTAATCTTGAATTAATTTGTTACATGATATTATTAACAAATTTAACTGAAAAAATATGTTAATATGGAATAAACCATGATTATATAAGCTATCAATGCTATATATACATATGTAAAAGATTCATATTAACTCAATTAACAAAAATGATAGATTTTCATAAAGGTTCAATCTAGGTTCGTCCGAAAATTTTGATTTTTATATAGAAGACATAGTTTCATATACATAATTAAATTTTCAAACAAATTTGATCATACCATTTATTAAGCAGGATAGTATATTAATTACTATCAGTATAAAAATATAAAAATGATTATATTTAATTATTGCATAATTTAGTCAAAGAGTTATAAGCCTCAAGTGATCGTTATCACCTTCAATGCACGTATACTTTATTGATTCATAGATATTTAATCTATGTTTGACATGTTGTTGTCGTCATTCGTTTTGTTCCCATTCTTCCTAAGTTAGAATTAGAGAATACACCATCCACATCATCTAATTTGGTCCTCAGCGATAGATTGGTTCATTTTGGAGGAGTCCCATCAGACAGTTTTCGAGCACCAAATATCAAATTTTAATGTATACAAATCTTTAGTGATTTATCTCTTTTATGATGAGTAAAAGGTTTCTGCTCATCAACATTTGATTTCCGACATATATGATTTCTAATTGCAATTATTTACTTTCTTTTTATAATCTAACTCTGTGACTCATACCATAAATTAATTATTGGAAAGTGTCAATATGTTTGGCACAACGCATGGCGGAAGATACCAAACCATGCAGGGAATATGATACGTTTAAGATCTCCGAACTTTTTTTCCAAAAATTTTCTATCGTTGCCCTACCTCTATCACAAAAATTTATTTTGGAAGACATAAATATATCAGCCATATACTTTTAAAAAATAAATTCGGTTTGTTGGAAAGTTAAATTAATGTTTTTATTGAACTCGATATTAGATCGAGTAGGAGCTTAAAGTATAGATTTCTAAGCTTTTTTTGAGCAAGACGTATTGTTACTAAGCAATAAAGAACTCTAAACTTAATTGCTTGACTAAATTATGACATTTGAAAGATTAAACAAGCAAATATTACGTAGAAGATAATTGTAATATTAAATGTGTATATATCTATGGGGTATCTGGTCCGGAAACAAGAGCTTATTGAAAATATTTTTCTTCGTACGTTGATCCAGACGATTTTGGCTTTGAAATTATTGTTTGGATCGATAAGTTTTGTAATTGCTTCCAGATATATGCGTGAATTTTCGCGTAATCATCTGGATTAATATTTTCTAATTGGATTGTAACTTCTTTATTAACTAGAATTGCATCTGGTTGTAATTTATAAATGAATCGTATTAAATTTAGCAATTTATCTGTTGAATTCAAAAGTTGTATTTCTTTAACTAAATCTTCTCTTGAAATACTATTGGGATTTCTATTATATTGGTTCAGTAAGTAGTTTGCAGGCTTTGAATTGTTAGTCGATGTTGTTTCTTCAATATCAGAAATTGGGATTGATTTAATTTCATTAAATTCATTGAAAGCAATTCTTATTTTCATCGATAAAGGTATTGTTGTTGGTTTATAGACCAGAACTGCTTTTTCGAAGTCTTGAGTTAATAACTCCGCCGCAGCTGGTTTTATTGATTTAACTGGATCCCATTTCTTTGCATTTGCAAGTAATTCATTCATGTTATCAATGAAATCCTGAGGAGATTGATAAACATGATTTTGTAATTTTTCTGAAATTAATTTGAATGTAATTGGGTGTATTATATCAGGATTATCAATTTCTTGGTCTGAATCCCAAAATATTTTGGCAATTGGACGCTTCATTAGTGTATCTAATATTTGTTTGCATGCTAAATGTTCAAATTCATTCATAAAAAGTGACGTTTTTTCCTCATATTCCCCGCTTTCAGAACCCAGAACCATTAGATTTTCTATTTTAATATCTAGGCAATTGTTTGGTTCAAAGTTCCAAGTCAAGGATCTGATAATTTTACAAATCCTTAGTAATCTATTCAAGTTTAGTTCTATGTAAAACTTGTATCTTCATAGGGCATTCGATTGGCTTAAAATTGAGAAAAAAATTATAAAAAATATTTTATCAAAATATGAAAAGAAAAAATACAAATTAAAAGTCATAGTGTAAATAAGGATATTTCCTAGTGAAGCAAAACGGACGGATAGCAAACCATACGATGATACCAATGGCAAGAGATCCGATTGCAATGGCCACTGAAACTCCAATTGTAAATCCTGGTTCAAGGGTAATTGGAGATGCTGTCGGAGATTCTGGTGGCATAGTTTCCTCTGGGGTTTGCGGTGGAACAGAAGGTGGTGGGTTGGAGGGAGTTGGAGAAATTGATCTTGTTGGAGTTGGTGTAACAGAGATATGACAGTACTGTGTAAGATATTGAGCTTCTTGTGGTAAAGTGAATCCTTGGGAAGAAATATAAGATGAATATGCATTTCCTGCTATTTCTGAAGGTAAAAGAGTTATAATAGCTGATGATGCTGGATCTATATAGGCACCTGTTACTGTCTTAGAACCTTGCGATCCAACTATTGTAAGAACCGAAGATGCAGAAATTTGGAAAAACCCGCATGAAGCAAATGTTGCAGAAAGAGAACTAGACTCATCTGGATTATTGATAACAATTGTCTGTATAAATTTTACAGAATAAAATAAATCAGATTGCAATTTGAGATCTGTTGCTGCTTGAAGACCAGAAATTTGAAGAAAATTATTAAATGAGCATGAGTAAAATTGACAATGTAAAAGTTTAAATTCTGCACCTGAATTAATATTAGTATCTCTAATAAAGGTAAATGACTTTGCCCCTGTATAATTTAAATACTCACAGTCGACGGAGCCTTTAATGTTAAAGAAATGTGTACCGGATGTTGATGGGTTTTCTGTATAAAGTGCGTTTTGATTCATTGTATTAGTCATTGAATTCTGACCAAGAAGATTCATTGCCGATTTCTGTGTTGCTGTTGATAAAATGCCTAAATTGTAAATACAGTTTCTGTTATATGTTAAAGAAGTTATGGCAGTACTTGAATATAGAATGCCAGTTTGATAGTTGTTGAATGAACATGAAACAACAGATAATGAATTAACGTTTAGTTGGGTAGGTTCTCCAGAAGCATATGAAAATAAAGTATTCTCAATTGAGCAGCTTGTGTCTGAACAAGTAAGAAAACCTGAGTCTTTATCCAATTTATATATAGCCGTTAAATAATGCTGGAAAGATGATTTATCAACTTTAAAATTTTTGGAAATTGAGGAAACGAAGAATGGTTTTGCTTGAAAACTAAAATGTGTATCTCTAACATTGAAATTTTTGATTGACGCGAAGTATGGTGAATGAGATAAAAAGGAAACAGAAAGTTTTTGCAAAGTTACGTTCATATAAAAATAAAAAAAATTCGATAAAAATAACGGATATTTAAACATTGAATTTAATTGTAATATTCTATTCTAGAACAAGAGTATTATTGATTTTAATGCAATCAATGGTTTTGAAATCCAATGTAAAATAACTTTTAAAATAATTGACTTGTATGCTTTGAATTTTCCTCAAAAATTGAGCGGAAACGGAATAAATTTTAGACATGTTTTATTAATTTTTCGCGCATAATTAATTCTACATGACTTGTGAAAAGCAATCAACGTTGATTTCAAGCGAATTTCAAGAAAAAATGCGATATTTATTATGGCGTTGACTTTGTATTTAAGCTTTCCAACAGTATCATAAATACATATCTCTTTGGTCTTGACTTTAAGCATTTCTTTCCTGAAAATGTCAAAATATCAGATTGTTTTCTAATATTTCTATAATATAGAATGTTTTTTATGAGAGCAATATCATTAAAATGAAATCTCTTTATGTTATTAGTATTTTTAATAGATAAAAAAAATGTTGTATAAATTTAAAATAAATCCAATAAATTATTTTTATTTTTACTTGAGTGTGAGCAAAACAGCTGTTCCACGCTTAACCCAGTGATCTGGATCATTTTCTGTAGGTAATTCGATTGGAAGAACAAGGGATGGATGTTCAGAAGATCCACCTCTAACTGGGTAGATGTAAGCAGGAGCAATGTAAACGTTTCCTTTCTCCTTCTTTGTCTTATCAACAGGAAGGAAGTGAATGATTGGCAATTCTGAGATGAGCTGGAGTGGCTTTGGATCGCAAAGAACTTTATTCTTCTTTGACCATCTTGCGCCTTCGAGGTAAAGCCCTCTGATAAGAACACCTTCCTTCGGAATAAGTGCTTGTTGCTCTAACTCTCTGACGTTATCTGTGTGCATAACGTTGAACTGCCACTCCAATTGGTCGATTGAAATCTTGTGGAGTCTTGCAGATCTCTGGAGAACTGCTGTAAGGAATGATGTTGGATATGTGAATCTTCCGAGCCAGAAAGCGTTTGGTTCGCCTTTCTCGAGCCATTTCTTGAAGAACTCGACACGAGAAATGAGATCCTTAGACCACAAAGCGAGTGGCTTCAATGATTGGTAAGCGAACTGCCACATCTCTGGTACTTTGTTCTCGTAGATGCAAGTGAAGATCTCATCGAGTTCTCTTGACATGACAACGAGGCCTTGGATACCTTTGATGAGCTCTTCGATTGAGTTGCGGACAACTGTCAAGAGCTTGTTGTATCTTGCGATTTCCTGGTACAAAACGATTTGTAATGCATCTGTGTTTGCGTTTGCATTGAGTCTTGGAAGAACAATTGTATTTGGAACGTTGAACAATAAATCCTTTGCAAGGTTGAGGACGACATCTTCTCTTGATGCACCAGATGCTGTGGAAAGAGCTGGCTGAAGGGAAAGAACTGTGGAAAGGAGTCCTTGGCCTTCCTGGATCAATGATGAAATATCTGCGTTCGGGTGCTGTCCGAAAGCCTCTGGAGGATCTGTGATTGGGATCTTCTCGATGACCTGCATTGCGTCTACAACGTTTGTTGGTTCTGGGACGAAGTACAAGTTGTTGTCGCAAAGCTTGAATCCGTGTACATCGATGAGATCCTGCTGGAAGTACTGGTGGACGTAGACATCCAACAATCTCTGATCCCATGAGTCTGTGACTCTTCCACCGTAGTGGATTTCTGAGATCAAGAATCTCATGGCTTCCCATGGAATTGCCTTTGGAGATGTGTCCAAAAGCTTGGCGATAACCTTCTGGCAGATATCGAAGTCTGCTCTGTTGAAGGCGTAAGGGATGTTCCAGCCGAGTGTGAGGAACTTGCGACGCTCGATGATGACAGAATGCAAGTAGCAAAGTGCAAAAATAAGCTTCTTGTAAGTTGGTGTTGCCTTGTCGATTGAATCTGTCTGGATTGTTGAGTAGAGTGTCTGCATGTTTGCGTGGATACCTGATGGGGATTCTGTTGTCATCTTGACAGCTCTCTGGAGGATGGAGATTGGGAACTTTGGATTTGGATCTGATGAAATCCACAATCTGAACTTAGGATCGATCTTTGTGAGACAGATTTCTTCGAAGATGCCTTCGAACTCGTCCATCCATGAGAGCATGAGGTGGCAGTTGGAGAGATAAACCCACCAACCTTTCTGGGAGCCTTCAACCATCAATTGCTTGGCAATCTCTGCCTGGCCCTGACCGAGAGCGAGGTCGTGGAATGAGTCCTCTGGGATCTTCATGTCTGTGGCAAGGCGCTTGAGGTTTGTGAGTGGATCGACACCTGGAGAAAGAACGAAGAGAAGCGGTGTGTATGCATCGGAATCATGGTATGCAGCTGATAATTCAAGTGGTGGTGGTTTAATGAATTCCTCGCCAATTGTGTTCTCAATGTAGTTGGAAATGCAGCTGAGGATTCTATCTGGTCTCAAGCACCTGACAATTACCATTGCCTGCATTAATGTGCATCTTCTCGTCCAGTCGCCTGGGAATGGAACTAATTCTGGCTGCTGGCTCATGTACCATGCGTACCAGTCTTCATTGTACTGCTCGAATGATGCGGCAATGCCTTCGAAAGCAGGAAGAGTGTTCAAACCAAGGATGTTCTCCCACTCTCTTTCATTCAACCACTCTGGTTTGGCACCGCCTTCGAGAACTTCTGGACTCAATCCAACTGGGCCACGGAGTAAGTACAAGTACTCATCAGCAGCGATTCTTCCTGGGCCGCGTTGATCTCCTGTCTGTTGAACTTTGACAGCGAGGCAGAATGAGAACAACAACTTGTGCTGTTCGAACAAACCACGGCATGTGTTTCTGTAGACTGCCAATGTGTGTTCCTTCTTGATCGTCTCGTTGCGCTGCTCTGTATCATCAGAATGCTGTGCGTTGCTCAACGAGTGATTGAAAAGAACTGTGTAGGCGTCGAGAGAGAACTGATACATCGGATCGACGTATGCGAGATCGGAAAGTACGAAGAAGAGTGATGATGCACGGCGAGCAACAGATCTGTATGCTTCACGAGCTGCATCGATCTTCTTCTCTGTGTCTGCAGCAGATTTAAGCTTTTCTCCAATGTTCTGTGAGAGGTGCTTTGATGTTTCGAGTGTTGTAACAACTGTATCATCATTGAGCAACTCTTGTGATGACTTGGAAGCCAACAATTGAAGAATCTGGAGTTCTGTGTCGTGCAATGTCTGCTTGTCTTGTGCCATTTGTGTGACAAGTCTGACTTTCTCGTTTTCGAGTTCTGGACGCTCTTTTCCGACGACGATACCAAGCATTTGTTCTTCAAGACCTTGTTCTTTGACGGAGAAGTTGATGACTGTTGTTCTTGAAGTGACTTCTGGTGTCCATTCTGGGTTAGACATCTTTGTTGTCATGAACAATCTGAAGTCAGGATGCAAAGCAACTAATCTGTCGCCACCGAGCTTGAACATCATTGTTGTACCTTGTTTGACGAACTCTCTGTTGATGATTGGCATGAGAGCTGGATCGATGTCTTCGCCCATATCCTGGAGCAAAACCGGTTGGCCAGTCTGCAAAGCGATTTCGAGTTGTTGGTCGAACTTCGGCTTCTTTGTTGTCATGACCAACAACTTGTCTTTGTACATCTTCTTGATCCACTGGTTTGCTTGGTTCTGTGGATCAATGCAAAGTGGCCATCTCTCGCCGTGCAAAACGAGAGTTGCGTTTTCTTCGGAGAAATCATCCAAAGCCAAACCGCAAAGGTGCCACTGTTGTACGAAGATTGCTTCATCAAGGAATTTAGTTGGTGTGAAATCAGGGTTCGTTGATAACTTGAGTGATCTGATGTGCTTCTTCCACTTTCCGATGAGCTGCTGTCTGTAATCTGTTGAGAATGGACCGCAGTAGACGAGGAAAGCAGCTGCAAGGAAGCAGTCACCAGGCAACCACTCCAAGAGTTGGTCGAAGTTCTTGATGGACTCTTCCCAACGTGTTCTTTCGCCTACAAGACCGTTGACGAGATCGTTTGAACGCTTGAGCTTGATCTCTGTTGAACGAGCTTCCTGTTGGAGTTTGTCTGAAGCTGCCTGTTGTGCATCACGATCTTTACGGAGCTGTTCGAGTTTAGCACGAAGTTCCGCGAGATCCTTTTGTTTAGTTTCGTATTCGATTCTCTTTTCTTCGAATGCTTGTTTCATCAAAGCGACTTTCTGCATGTAAGGATAGACATTCTGATATGCTTCTCCATATCTAATCATGGCCATAACCCAGCATGCGAGAAGTGAAGCAGCTGTTGATGAACGAGCAGCGACTTTAGGATCGAGTTCTGGCATTGCTCTGTATCTCTGCAATTTCTTGAGTGTTGACTTCGGAATGTGGTCCTTATCGAAGTTTGTCAAACGACCAATGAAACCTGGATCCTTCATTTCGACCTTGGCCTGCTGGAATGAGCATGGCTTGCCGAGCAATGTCATAAGAGCTTCGACGACGATTGGAACAGCGCCGACGGATTCCTTATAACCGGAAATTTCGTGAATGTTGTTGACATTCTTCTTGAATGACTCTAAAGCTGCTGCAGCGTTATCAAGTTCTGGTTTAACGTTTGCGAGACGTGCTTCTGCAGCTTCTTGCTCAATTCTGCATTCTTCTGCGGACTTGGCAATTTCCTGAGAGTACTGGACGAGATAAGCTTCCTGATCTTCAGCTGACTTCTTTGTGTTGGAAAGCTGGATAGATGTTGCTTCTAACTTAGCTTTCTCTGCTTCGAGAGTGACTTTGAGCTTCTCGAGATCGTGTGACATAATTTCGACTTCTGAACGTGTAGAAACCAAAGTTGCGACACCATCTCTGTAGACCTTTGCGCGGGCAGTGATTTCGCTTTCCTTCTGCGAAAGCAAAGTCTTGTAGTTCTTTACGAACTCCATGAATGTTGTTGGTGTCAACTGGAATGATCTCTTTAACTGTGTCTGCATCTTGTTGCACATTCCATCTGCAAGAGAGTGGAATTCGACAAATGAGCCGACAATTGCGTTCTTCGTGTTTTCGTCCTTGAAATCGACATCCTTCATGATGTTTTCTGCGACGGCTTGAAGAGCTTGTTTCGGCCATTCGTTGAACCAGTCAATTGTTGTGTTGTTGACGAGAGGTGGGAACATACGGATTCTGTTTCTGAGAGCGTTTCCTGCTGGTGACATTGAGAATACAATGTGCATGTTTTCTCTCGACAACTGGACGTAAAGGTTGAACAAGTTCTGTGGTGTCTGTACGATCTTTCTCTTTGTGGCTTCGGCGCGCATTGCTTCACGACGCTGCTGGAGTTCTTCGCCTTCGAAGAGGTTTGGAACACAACCTGATGTAAGGATGGAAAGAACATCTTCAAGGAATGATTCCTGGAGAATGTGTGTGTCTGAGAAGAAGAAGACTGTTGGCTTCTGTTCGATGGCTGTGAGATCAATAACTTTCTTGAGATCTTCACGGAAATCACGTTCCTTGTATCCCTTTGTGATTGTGATCTGGAAGAACTGCATTTCGAGAATGTTTGCAGCCAATCTGCATTGTGATTGACGTCCGGAACCACCTAAACCGATGAGAAGAGCGTGTCCGAACTGTCTGCCGATGATTCTCATGATTCTGCAGCAGTGGAATGATGCTTCCTTGAAGAGGACCAAGTTCATTGGAACTTTGTTACCCATTTCATTGTAATCATTGAGTTGGTTGATGAGGAACTTCTGGAGAACGTTGAAATCTGGGTATTCCTTGTATGGCCATGTTGGACCTTCCTGGACGAAAGCGCCGTGTGGTGTTGGCTCTTTGTCTTCACGAAACAAGGCCGGCCATGTTGTTGAAAGTGCTGTGTTGAGCTGTCCTTGCAATAACTTGAGGAACAAGGCTCTGTCGTCATCGTTGACTAATCTATCAGCGAAAACTCTGAAGCACTCGTGGCACCACAATTTGATGAAAGCAGTTCTGTCATCGAAATATTCGAGATTTGCATCCAACAAGCCTTGGAAGACACGTGACATATCACGCAAGTTGAAGATGTAGTGGGACTTCTTTGGTGTTGGAAGGAACTGCTTCTGGATGTTCTGGAAGAGCTCAAGTGTTGCGTTTGTCAATGGTTCTGCAAGGGACTGAACTTCTTCATTGAACTTGGCAACATGGTTGGACAAAAGTGTGTTGAAGATTCTCTTGAGTTGTGAATCTGATGGATTTGAAACGTTGAACAAGCAGAACTTTGACTGAAGACGTCTTGAAATTGGCTGTCTGCCACCGCCTGGAGGTGCCATGGCTGCGACAACTTGCATGTCCTTGAGGATCTTTGGTGTGCAAGTTGTTCTGTCGTACCATGATTCTGTTTCCATCCATTCACGGAGCAACTCAAGAGGAGGCTGAGATCCGAAGAGATCACGCTGTGGCATGTTGAAATCATCGATGAATACGACGAGTTTCTTGCCGCCAATTGGAACGTAAGTGCTCTTTGTTCTGATTTCGAAAGCGTTCTCAATCATTTCCTGGAGCTTGTTTGATGTTGTTCTGGAAGAAAGGTTCATTGTCAATGACGAATACTTGTTGGAATCGTATGTTGTCAATGTGTTTTCAATGAAAGCTGTCTTACCAGTACCGGAGAAACCGACGAACAAACCGTGGATGTTTCCGTCTGTGAGTGTCTTGAGGATGAAGGAGTTTCTGATTGTGTCGACTGTTGGAACGAGGATTTGGTTGAATGGAACTTCTGGTGTCTTCCAAACTGATGGTAACTTGTCTTCCCAAGCAACTAAGCAGTGCTTCTGGACATCGACGTAGTAATCGTAGACTGTGTCCTTTGCTGGGAATGGGCACTCGAGATCTCTGATCCAAAGATCTGCCTCGCGACGGCCATCTTCATTCAATGAGCCGCCGATACCCCAAACTAAGCAGAACCAGAACCATGACTCGACCATTACATCGAAGTTCATTTCATCTGCTGGATCAACACCGTTTGCTTCTGTTGCAAGTGTCTCGTAGAGCTTGCAGAATGTCTGGACTGCGTTGAGATCTGTGACAGGGATGAGATCGTGAAGAGCTTGGTGCTTGTACTCGATGAACAAATCAACGAACTTCTGGCAGAGTAATGAGAGTTTCTGCTTGTGGCGGTCGTTTGTGATGACTCTGTTCATCCAGGATGTGAGGGATGGTTTGTATCCGATTGTTGATGTCTCGAAGTAAATCATACCGCAACGAGAAACTGTAGCTGGAGAAGCGACAGCGAGATCTTCGACTTCGAAAAGAAGAGAAACAGGTGGTGGAAGTGAGATACGAGCGGAGTTGATAAGAGTCAAAACCTTGTTATCATCAAGAACGGAGTTCATTGATTCAATCCACAATGTATCGACTGGGCCATCGAAGATAACCCATCTTAAATCATCACCTTCCATGATGGAAACATCTCTGATGACTGTTGAAAGAACACCTTCTGACCATTGTCTTGTGTTGAGATCGTATTGACCGTACAATTCACCCAATGAAAGGGCCTTAGGGTTCAACATGTATGTCAATGTTCTTGTCTTGATGTTGTTCAATGCCTTTGCAAGAATTGTGTAAGCTGTTGTCTTACCGGAGCCTGTTTGACCGACAAGCATGTTGCCGTGTCTTGTCTGCATTGAATCGTACAATTGCATGATCTTTTGGACAAGAGCTGGCTCGACTTGTAACTGGTCGGCTTGGAGAGCTTCGACAACGGCTGTTTCGACGTTTCCTGCTGCTGGTTGTTCGAGTTCGACATCTGGGAAGAGATCGGACATGATTGACTGGAAGAGAGGAATATCTTCGCGAACGAACTTTGGCAAGTTCATGTTTGTCATTGATCTGAGAATAATGAGTTCATCAGACTGTCCTGTGTTCTGGCGCTTGAGAGAACCAGCCATGGAAAGAACGGACTTGATGTTACGAAGACCGAAATCGTAGTGGTCCTGCTTTGAAAGCTGGCGCTTGCAGAGATCGTAGAGTGTTGTAATCTTTCTTGCGAGTGCTTCACCAGCTGCGACACCTTCTGACATAAGTTCGATCTTGACAATGAGAGAAGAGTCTGGAACCATCATGGAAACTGGTCTCAAAAGTGTCTTGAGGTTATCTGGAAGTTCGGAACGACCAGCGTAACCTGGGTTCATTGTAACGAAGATAGCGCATGTTGGATTGAGTTTGATGAACGATGTGTCCAAGCAAACTTGAGAAGCACCAGATGCGATACCATCGAGAAGACGCTGAACTTGCTGTGCAATGACAGAAAGAACTTCGACTTCGATACGGTTGAATTCATCGAAGCAAGACCATGCACCTGTCTGTGCCAAACCGGAGAAGATGTTACCCATGGACTTGAAGTCGAGGCCTTCTGAGCAGTTGAAGACGATGCAGAACTTGGCGAATGCCTTTGCAAGATCTTTAACTGTTTCTGTCTTGCCTGTACCTGCTGGACCTTGTGGGTTACCACCGCACTTGAACTGCAAAGCTGATGTCAATGTCAAGTAGCAACGATCTGTAAGTGGTGTGATGACAAGACGTGGGTTGTTGCCGATGTATTCCTTGTCGTATTCGAATGATGAGAATGTCTGCTGGATTGTGCAGAATTCATTCTCCTTGAGCCAGTAGAACCTCAATTGCTTGAGCCAGACGAAATCATCCTTCGTAACAGAGCCGTTGTGGTTGACACCGTACTTGATGATTTCGTTGATGACATCGCGAGCATGATCTTCGATAATAAGAAGAGCTTTGACCTTCTTTCTGAGAAGAGGAGAAAGGTTGTCGCGAATCATGTTTGTGAGTTCGCCAATGAACAAAATCTGGGAACCAAGGAGTTGTGTAAGTGGATGTGATTGTGCAGTGATTCTAACAGCTTTTCCACCAGCACTTTCTGCTGCCTTCTGAGCGGATTCAAGAGCTCTTTCGCACTCCATTGTCCACTTGATTTGGCCGGCAGTGATGAAGCATTGGCCTGGGAACTGATCGTCCTTAAGAACCTTTGCCTTATCAATGTAGTTTGTCTTGAGGATGGCTGTTCTGCAGCGGGATAACTGTGTGTGGATTGTGCGGCGCATTTCGTTTTCGATTTCACGGAGCCAAATATCGACATCACCTGAGATTTGGACTGGTGTTTCGAACTTAACTTCTTCTCCTTCTGCGGAGGACATTGTGACTGCAACCGGCTGTGGTTTTCCTTCTGAGTTGGCCTGTGTATCGAATCTTAATGATGTCATGCCGCCGAACATCTTCTTGAGATGTGGCAAGACGCATTTCGGATCCTTCTGCTTGGAAATGATCTCGAGAAGGTCGTCGTTTGAAAGGAAGTAGAATCTTGGGAATGAGTTTCTCTTTGATTGCAAGAATGACTCGAGAACCTTTTGGATTTCTTCGAGTTTCTCGTTCATCTGCTTCAGCTTTGTAACAATGTCTTGTTCTTTAACAGCTCTGAAGCATGTTGTTGAATCTCTACGGAGCAATTCCATGATATCACGCCATTTCTGATGAACTTTTCCGAACTCAGAAGCCTGGTTCAAAAGATCTTTACGGATTGTCTCAGAGCCAGAGAAAATGGCTTCGAGGTAAATCCATTGGCGCTGGACTTGCAAAAGGAGATCTGTGAGCTCGAGGACCTTTGTGAGGTTCTGTTCGAGGTTGTTCATGGCTGTCTGATCGAATGGAGAGAAGAAACGTGTGGCCTTCATTGATCCGAGTGTTGCCTTCATTGTTGACAACTGTGTCTGGTCTTGTTCGATCTGATCATAGATCTTATCAGACTGGATGATCTTGTAAGCACCACGGTGTGGATCTGTTTCGAAGTGCAAGTTGCCCCAGCGATCTGTGATCTCGTTGATGCCCATTTGTACTTCGTATTCCTTGGAAGCGATCATAGCGATTGTTGCAATGATATCTGCGTGTTCTTGGAACTTCATCTCGTAAATTGCTGCGAGATTGAATGAATCTGAGTTTGGATCGAATGTTACATCCAATTCCTTCATGATGATGTTCCAGTGACGCTCGTTGATGGCTGGTTCTTTGAGGTTGGAAATCAATGGCATCATCTTCTTGAATTGCTGAATCTTCTGTGCTAAAACAGTTGCAACATCCCAGTTCTTTAAACCTAAGTTTGCAACTTGTTTAGCTTGTGTAACAGCGGCTCCTTCCATTGAAGCAACATCGAGTTTCTTGAATGGATCGCTGCACCACTTGTTGAACATGTTGTCCCATTCATCGTATAATCTCCAGACTTGTCTAAGTAAGCCAATATCTGTCTTAACAGTGGAGATTTCTTTGTAGACTGGTGGATCGAGTTTGAACAAATTGCAACCTGGTCTTAGAGCATCTTCTCTTAATCTGAGCTCGCGAACCTTCTCATCGTATCTGTCGAGAATTTCGTTTGCTGCCTTGAAACCGAGAGAAGCCTTAAATGGTTCTTCTAACATGAATTGGTTGTACATGTCTGTTTGCAATTGTCCGATTTCTTCGACTTCTGCAATGTGTTTCTTCTTGAAAGCGTCTCTGTGCTGCTCCAACTGTTTGTCAGCGAGAGTTACGGATTCCTTGAATTCTTTCCATCTCTCAGCCAACGATGTCAAGAGATCTGTATCCTTTGGATCGATTGGATACTCGAATTTGACCAAAGCATCGAAGTTTTCTTGCAAAGGAGCGAACAACTTCTCTGTTTGTGGGATGGATTCTTTGACTTCGGCCATGAATTGGAGTAATGCTCCTAATTCAGGGATGTTTGTTGGTGTCTCGCGGAGTTTGGCTGTTTTCTCACTGAACATTTCGTAGAAATGATGTAATTTCTCGTGAGAAACATCATTCAAGAGCTTGATTAATCTCGATGTCCAATCAGAGCAATGTGTTAACAATGATGACTGCAGAGGTGATGAATCCAAGCGTACGAATGACTGTGTTGATGTTGATTCTGTTGCTTGGATTTGGTTGCTTTGGACTTTGTAGTCATCGATCTTTTGATTGAACTGAGACAATGTCATCTCTGTATCTGCCAAACGGCGGAGTTCTGTTGGTTTGTCTGTATCCCAGATTGTCTTGTACTTGTTCCAGGACTCGACTTTAGCCTTGAATGGCTCTTCGAGCTTGTTGATGATTGTTTCAATCTGTGATGACAAATTCTTGATCTCGTCATCGCTCTGGATTTGTGTCAAGAATGTAGAGAAATGTGTCTTTTCTTGTGAGAAGACGTAGTTTGGATCTTTGATGCGCTCGTACTCTTCAACATCATCGTCATCAGGGATAACGCGGATATCATCTTTAAGTGACCAATAAGCAGGCTTGAACTCGCTAGAGATCGAAATAGCGCCGTTCATGAGTGATGTCAATGTTTGCTTGATATCATCGAAACCTGGAGTGATTGAGCACTTTCCGTTGACGAGATCCATCTGAGAAATGAAGAGTGGGAATGTTTCATCAGTCAAAGCACGCTTGAGGTCAAAGAGTGCTTTGTTTGCTGCTTGTTTGAACGCTGATTCCAACATGTAATCGACATTGATCAAGAAGGAAAGCCACTGTTCTTTAACATTCAATGTATTGATATTGAATGAATTGAACATTGTGCGCAATTCGCCAATCGTTGTATTGTAAACATCCATGATTTGTCCTAACGCTGTATTGTAGCATTGTTTCTGGACTTCATAGAATTCATCGGATCTGAAGATGTGTTTACCTGGTTGTACTTGGATGATTGGAGTTCTTGAAATTGTCTTGCAGGCTGTGATGATGTTTCCTGATGTCTTCTTGAATCCGACAATGATTTCGTGGACTTGGTGAAGTTCCTTGACACTTGCATTGACAAAGGAATTGACAAGTGATGTGTTTTGCCAATAAACCTTTGGTGTCAAAGCGTCACCAATTCTGTGTTCGATCTTCTGGAAGTGATCGTGGAATAAGAGTTGTTCATCTGGCTTCAAGCACTCGTAGATTGTGTTGTAATCTCTTACAACATTAAGTACACATTCTACGATATCTCTTGTGCGATCTCTGAGGCCGACAATCTCTGTGGCTGTTGAAGAAATGATCTTTCCCATTCTGATGAAATGAGCGATTTCTTCTTCTGCCTGAACCAATCTGTCTTCGATTGAAGCGCGAATTGATGTCGGTGTGTTCTTCGCGAGAATTGGTTTGTTGAGGGCTTGTCTGACACTTTCTACGATTGTCTTGTGGTACTCGTTGAAAGTGTTGTTGATGAAATCATTGATGGAAGTGATGATTCCCTGGTAACTCGTGATGACTTCGTTCTTGTATGTGTATGGAGGTAACCATGTAGCAGCGGAAATCTGCTCAAATGGCTGCTGAAGACGGAGAGCAAGAGAACGAGCCCAAATCATTGTACCTGCCTGCTTTGGTTGATGAGGAGGAAGCGGTGGATTGGCTTTGAGGTTCTCGAACTCTCTACGAACAACGATGATCTCTTCTTGGAAGAGTTTCCACATATCGCTGCATTTGACGGAAACAAGGTGTTTGACACCATCACGAACAGCGAGATCTTCGAAAATTTCGAGGAGTTGGAGTGCCAATGTTGGTGTTCTGGCAGCTTCGAACTGTGTTTGGATGGCGTTGAGAAGAAGGGACTCGAGATTGGAGCAGCTCTCGCAATATTCGTTGAAAGCTGTGTGCCATTTGTTGTCACTGACATCGAAAACGGAGCAGTCGGATGTTTCGAGCTTCTTGAGGATTCCGACGTATGAATCTTGGATTTCCTGGAGGCTCTGGGAGATGGTTGAGCCAATTGAACCTGGGAATGTTGGAATTGGAACTGCTTCTGTGCCTTTCTTGCGAGTAAACTGGATGGTGTTCTGGCAAATCTCTTTAAGATCACCACAGCGAGAAATGAAGGCATCGAAGTTGGCGAAAAGCTGGGTATGATCGAAATTCCATGCATTCGGATCTTTTGACTTGACTGCGCGCATGGCAACCTTGTAAGTACTGTTCCAGGAGGCACCGACAGTGACAGCGATTGTAAGAATGTCAAGACCATGGTTGACATCACCTTCAAGTGAAAATACGTTATCGAGATTAATCTTCGATGTAATGAAATGCATAACTAAGTCACTAACGCGCTTGAGGAGAACGGAAAGATGGTTCTCGTCGTGGTAGTATGGGCTCTTTTCGTAAATAAATCTGATGGCGAAAAGAATCTTGCGGAGAAGCTCTGTGCATTCAGAAACTTCACCTTGGCTAAGCTGGTTGCATGGCTCGATGAGAACGCGAAGATGGCGGATGATACTTTTGGCCATAACGCTCTCTTCCTTAACTTTGTTGTAGTGTGTCTGGAAATCGGCAAGATAGCGAGATTTTACTGCAGACAAAACTGCAATAACTTGCTGGATTGGTGTAGAATCGATTTGAGCTTGAAGAGATTTAGATGTTTTAAGGCGGAATTCCCAATATTCAATTTCAGCAAGAGGGCCGACAGAATCGAACTTGATCTGAACTGGAGTCTTAAGTTGTCCAGTCCATTGGATAACGATACTCTCAAGACGTTGAATAAGAGCACGATCCTGAACGCATGCCTCGATATTTGTAAGATCTTCGTGTGGGATGTAAAGAATTGTTTCACCGTAAAAACTATTTGATGAATCTGTTACGAAGCCTAAGAATTTGTTCATTTCAGGCATAATATCTTGGTGGATACTATCTGGTAAGTATTGTGATTTAACAAATAATGGTAAGTAAAATCCTTCGAGTGATGTAAGAAGTGTATTTACGGCTCTGCCTTGAACGTGACCCCACTGAATGCAGCTTGTGAGGTTATTGTAATTTGGCTTAACGTCTAATCTGCGTAAGAAATAAATAACTTCTCTAGTATCTGATTGAGGAAGTAAAGGTGTTAACACGAATTTTCCTGCATCATCAAAAGTTGCAAAAAGACGATATGCTTTTGCGTCACCGGTTACTGTTGGGCAAGTCAAGAAGTCAAAAACTACTTGATCATGGTAAGGTGTCCATAATGAATCATTATAACCGGGTAACTGCATACGTGTCTTGAACCAAGCTACGGCAGCTTGAAGGTCCTTCTGTTGGACTTCAATTTCTTCCGTGCTTTGTTCCATATTTTCTGCAGTTTCTTCTGATGTCATGATAATAGATTTTGGTTATATCAAAATTTCCCCTTTTTTCAAGGCAATTATTAAATAACGGAATAACGGACAAGTCAATATAACGAAAATATGAAATCAAGAATGAGAACTAGATACTTAGCTGAATATCATAGATAAAAATGATTATTAGATCAGATTTTAAAAAAAATAATCGTAAGAATGTATTTAGGCATGAATAACTGAACTTAATTGCCTGGATACTATGCTGTGACATATCAAAAATGGCTGCCAGAAAAGCTAACAATATTGAAATTTTTCTTGGTCTGAATTTCATGCAATACAAATGTATCCCTTTAAAATTCATCACAATTCACGGTTAGTCATGACAAACTGAATATGAAAATTGAACTTTATCAAAATCCTTAATTTAATTTAAAAGGATTTTTTGATTATTTCGCGAATATATTAAGTTTCATTCAAAAATATTCTGTTCTCCTTATTTCAAATTGTCTATATATGAGTATTTATTGAAATATTCTGTTTAGAAGTTTTATTGGATTGAAATTTTTCCAAAAATTTTTGAATTTAAAAATTTTGAACTTGAAAATCTAAGAAAATTGAGTCATTTTACATAAAATGAAAACAATTTGGAATTTTTGTTGTTGGGATTCATGCATGAGTTCAGACAGGGAATGCAAAAACACTAAAATAGTGGTGAGTTCTTGTAATTTGATAAATTTTATTTTATCAAATAGGATTCGGATCGTAACAATGTTATGATTTATGTTCACTTCGAAAATATCTCACATAAAACATCATGCCATGAGTTTAAAAAGGACAGAATTATATAAATTTTTTATAACTAAAATTCGGTGAATGAATTCTAGTATAAAAATACAATTTATTACAAACAATATATATCTATATAAATAAAATCGCATGGACCTGCACCTATTTGAAACTGTCAAATTTGCGCAGTCTAAAGCACGTTGGGGCTCTTCCTGTAGTAAACCGAATCGGATTATCTCTTCCAGTTGCGCTTTTATCTTTAGTTTTTCCTATGTTCATATTTAGTTTTGGTAAACCATGCCTATCAACATTTATTGTCTTCAGAGCAAAATCTCCTTCCATCAAACTTCTAACGTCTTGAAGTAACTGACGGGATGTAGGGCGACTTGAAGGCTGGTATGATAAGCATTTTTGGACTAATTGTCCAAGAACACCAGGAAGATTGATACGAAACTGAAGAGTACCAGCTTTGATTTCATTCAAGAATCTGGCTTCGCTAGTATACTCGTATGGAAATTGAGAAGTCATTAAAATATGAGCGGTCACAGCTAGTGACCATATATCTGCTTTCATAGGATCATAGGACTGAAGTCTGATAACTTCTGGGGCCATGTAATCCCGAGTCCCGCAAAAAGTATCTGAATAATGAGCACATTCGCTTGAAAAACCGAAATCAATGATCTTCGGATTATTATTGGCATCAAATACAATATTCTCTGGTTTAATATCTCTATGTGCAATGCCTCTTTGATGCAAATAATCGATTCCGTCGACAATTTTATATAAGATATTCAGTCTTTCTTTATATGAGAAACATATTCTGTTATTGACAGCTTCTGTAAGGTTTCCATTTGGTAAAAATTCCATGACTAAGATGATGTGGTCTTCAGTATAAATAACGTCGTAGTATTTTGGAAAACTTGGATGATCAAATCTGAATATTAACCTAAGCTCTGACTCAAGATATTTTATGATACCTTTATCGGAGATTATTTTTCTATGAAAAATCTTTAAAGCAACAGGTTCGTATGTCTTATCATTCGAAGCGAGAGCAATAACTGAAGTCGTTCCTTTGGTAAGCACACGCTTAATAGTATAGCCAGGTATATGCGGGGGGACCATAGCATCTAGCATTGACTTTATATTGAATTTGGAAATAAAAAGAAAATTGAAAGAAAAAAGGCTAATTTTGCTCAATTGTTGATTTTTGGAAAATAACCATAATTGCATTATTTGAAGGATTTTCCTTCGCGGATTATTTTTTGAAAATTCTTTTGAAATTTTGATAATAACTCAAATGATAATATTATTGTAATAAACAGAAATTCATCAAAAGTGACAGCTCTCAATTTTTTGACATTTGTAAATTCTAAATTGAATGAGAAAAATGAAATAATACTAAGCATAATACAATATTCTAGATTTAATTATAATTAGGAAAAAGTTAGTTTTGAGAGTACTTTTCATAGGCATATAGAATGAAATCTTCTGAAAAATAATATCACATAAACTCATATTATTTTCTAATATATAACTATTTTATATAAAAATCAAATTCAATGATCTTAAAAGCGAATGATAAACCTCAAAATTTACGAATATAATGAGTGGGAATATAATGCTTATCTATCATAAAACCATATGAAATATCAATTTTTGCTTTACGCCTAATTTTTGACGACAATTAGCAAAAAATGTTAAATGTTAACACTCAGTCCATTTGAATATGAAAAATAAAATTGACTTTGATTAAATGTTTTTATTTATCATGCAATTCTTCTTGCGACCAAAGATTTGAATAGAATTTATATACTATTCATCTATTAGTAAACACTACCGTATATTATTTTTTAAGCTATCTTATTTTTTGAACTTTTATTCAAATCTTTGGTCGCAAGAAGAATTGCATGATAAATAAAAACATTTAATCAAAGTCAATTTTATTTTTCATATTCAAATGGACTGAGTGTTAACATTTAACATTTTTTGCTAATTGTCGTCAAAAATTAGGCGTAAAGCAAAAATTGATATTTCATATGGTTTTATGATAGATAAGCATTATATTCCCACTCATTATATTCGTAAATTTTGAGGTTTATCATTCGCTTTTAAGATCATTGAATTTGATTTTTATATAAAATAGTTATATATTAGAAAATAATATGAGTTTATGTGATATTATTTTTCAGAAGATTTTGTGTTCTTCTTCAAAATTCTATTTTTTTTATTAAAAAGAATCTTTACAAAATATACATTTACTTTAATTAATATTTAAAAACGTGCTCTATCAAAAGTTCCAAAAATTCAATATTTTAGCTTTTCTGAGGTGTCACTTTTGATGAATTTCTGTTTACAACATTATTTTGAGGAATTGTCAATGTTTATAAGATATATAATACATCAATTTTAATTGGATTTTTGCTTCAAACTGACTGACCTAAAATATTCTTAGATTACCATAAGGAATGCAGGAATATAATATAATAAAAATTTCTATCTGATAATTGAAATCAATATCATTTTATATGCAAATTAGTTACAAATAATAGGTTGCAAATAAATTAGTGAAAACGAGTATTTTGGGATTCAATCGATTCAATTTCAATTTCGTTTGAAATCTTGAATCACATTGAATTTATTCTTTACAAACGAATCATCATATTGACCCATCAAAAACTAATAATTTTATAAGTACGATGACTGCATTAGCAGTGCCCATATGCTTTTACATGTAAAATTTCTAGATGGTTACTTTCAATATTTCCAATTTTCGAAATTTTGCTCCTTTCGGATTTCTTACTGAATAAAACAGCTGTAATTTTTGCCCTTACACCTAATTCTTGTCGCTTGTATTCCACTCTCTTCAATTTCGTAACAATTGACTAGCTCGTCTAATCAATAATCTTATTATATAGTGTAGACAAGAGTAGATATTTCCATTGCTATTAATGGACATATTTTCAAAAAGATGTTAGAATTTGTTCAAATTTTGATTTATAGTTATTATTTTCTCTTAATAATGTATAAATCATTACCAATGTGCTAGTGTCCATGAAACCTTAATCACATTCTATTTCTCAATTCTTATAAGTTGATAATTAATATCTGATTTATCTAGCATTCGATTTTAAAATTGTTGGAAATATTGTATTGAAGAATGTTTACTTCATTGATATAAATATTTCGGAAATCAAATAATTTAATCTTTAGAATAGAATATAACCATTAAACAATCTCTCCCCACCTAGAAATAACAGAACAAATAGTTTGCATGATCAATTTCTTACACATATAGATTCAAATCCTCGACATAACAGTTTTCACCCAGAAATCTTCATCAATACATTCATGAGTTTAATACAATCAGATTAAGCTTAACTCATTTGATTCTTGAAAATTTCTTCTCATCACAGGGATTTTTCATGTGGTAGGATGTCAGTTAGAAATTGAGAAAGTTCATAGAATATTTTGAATTATAAGTTACCAGCTACCTCAATTTACTTCATTTCCTAAAAATGTTCGCAGCATTTTTAACAGCTGCAACATCAATTAGTATCAAATACGGTGATGTTGCTAATGCTCTCGAGCTTGCTAAGACAGGACCAACATTTATGTTCGCCTGCTCAAGCGATGAATTTGAATATTCAACAATTTCTCGCGCATTCGTTCGCTCTGCCCATCTTTCAACAGTTGAGGCAAACTACATTGTTATTGATACTTCTAAAACACCAAATGCTAAAGAACTTCTCGGCGTCAAAGATTTTCCATGCTTAGTCTATGCTAAGAACGGCAAAGTTCTCCGCACTCAATACCGTGGCTTTGATGAAGACTTTATTGTTGCCTTTATCAACACAAACTTTATTGATCCAATCGAAACAATTAAGACAAAGGAGCACCTTGAAGAATTCTACAAGACAACAGCATGTGGCATCATTGTTGCCAAGGCTGATGCTTCAGATGAGAAGTATCCACACATTGCTGATTTCTATCGTGAATATTCCTTTGAAGTCAGTGTTGTTTATGTTGATCCAGCAGTTTTCGGCAAGGAAGGCTTCTTCCTCTATCGTTACATCGATTCTGTTGTTCTTGAGCTCACAGATCTCTCCAACTTGGAAACATCCGAGATCATTTCAGAGGTCAACAAGAACACATTCCCAGAATTCCCAAAGGTTTCATCCCAGATCCTCAATGCTTGGGAATCCCAGAAGCAAATGTATGTTATTCTCTTATTATCCATGGACGATTTCTATCTCACACAGGATCAGCTCGATCTTATCCACCAAATCAAGGAACACGCTGGAGTTAACGTTACATACAGCGATATCGAAAATTCAGCTGTTGTTGGCATGACATACGGTCTTGTTGATGTTCTTGACTCATCAATGGCTATCATCGATGCTCGTGGCGATCGCACATTCAAGTACATGCTCGGAAAGGAACTAACAGCTGAAAACGCTCTTGAACTTATTAATAAGGTTAATGACGGTACAGCTACAAAGTTCTGGAAGTCAGAACTCGAGCCATCCATTGTCAAGGGTGAAGTCCAGCAATTCTCTGCTAACACGCTCATTCAAGCTGTCGAAGATAAGAAGGATCTCCTTCTCGCTATTTACTTCTCCAACAAAGAACCAATCCAACCATACATGGAAGCCACACAGGATCTCGTTAAGAAAGAGACAGGCTTTGTCTACGGCAGATTTTCAGTCGCTCTCAATGATTGGCCTCTCAAAAACCTCGGTGATGAACTTCCTTTCCTCGTTGGCTTCAAGGGCGGAAAAATAACATATGCTCAGAAACTCGGAGAGACAGCAGAAGTTGTCAAGAAGCAGATCGAAGAATATAAGGCTGCTGACAAAGAGCTATAAAAAATAAGTTTTTTTTTCTTTGTGATTTTTTCAAAGGTCATTTTTTATCACTTTTTTATGTAAATGAAAAGTGAAAATATTCTCTCAAAAAATTAAAAAAATAGCATTTTTAAAATCGCGACAAAACGCTTATATAGAATATCAGGTTTATAAAAAATTTAATATAATTTTTATCAGTTCTGAAAAATCTGATCTCATATTCCAAATGAAAAGTCGCTTATTAACGAAATCTTTTTATCTGATTTTCCCTGAAAAAAATGATTCAATTAAATTTTGAATGCAGTTCTTGTAAACTACTCAAACTCAAATCGACCCTTTCAATTATCGATGCACTATTTGAAGGGAGTATGCCATAAACAAGTCACATCTTGCCATTTATTCTTAACACAACTAACTCATGTCTACTACATCGTCTGACAATGAATATCAAAGCGCCGATAGTCCCCGTAAGTGTATCACAAAGCACCCTTTCACCCCTCACGAAGATCAAATTTTAATCAGATTTATCATGATGAATGGACCTCAAAACTGGTCTACACTTGCTTCTCTCTTATATAACAGAACACCGAAACAATGCCGCGAGAGATGGCACAACCACCTCGATCCAAAGATCAATAAAGGACCATGGACTTACTCAGAGGATTGCATAATAGCTGAAAAGCAGCGTGAACTCGGTAACAAGTGGGCTGATATTGCTAGATTTTTACCAGGAAGAACAGATACTCTCGTTAAAAACCGCTGGAACACTTCAGTCAAGGCTAGGTGCAATGAACTCCTACGCAAGAACACTCCTTGCATGCAGACACAATTTGACGAGTCGTTCAATAATTTCCTTTCTTCTTTGCAATTACCAAGAAAATTTGACGTTTCTTTCACACAGATACCACCATTAATGCAAAGACCATCAGCTCAAACAGTATTATTTGGTCATCCTAACTAATCTTTTTATAATAATTCTTTGTTTTTTATCTTAAATATTATATGTATTTTTTGCCGTTAATTACATCGCATTTTTTCTTAATCTAACTGTCATTAACAAAGATCTAAATGTCATTTGTTCATGGAAGGTGAAAACGAAATTTGTTATGATAAAATTCAGATTTATAACAAGGAGAATACTCCTAAAAATGTTAATCATTCACAAATCCAATCATATGTAATATCCAAATCGATAACCATAATATTTGGTAACCTTAAAGATGCGGATATACCTTTTATTTTGGGTGTGTCAAAATTGTCAAAAATCAAGTTAAAATGTTTTATTTCTTGTTTTTCACGTGTTATAGCCAAGAAACGATCACATACTGCTATAGAGGGACAGCAAATCATACATGCATGAATCCTTCTGCAGAAATATTGAATTCTAGCGAAGAATTATCGAATTTAGTTCTTTCGAGCTATGAGGAATATGACATTGAGATATATAACGAAGGAGAAGCACCATTTGAAATATCTGCAATAACTGTTGCTTCTCAAAACGTCGAAATTCATGGCTCCGGAAAAACAACAATTAGTTTTATTTCAGAATTGACTACAGTAACAATAGGAAGACTTAGTTTTAATAATGTAAATGTAACATTTAGCTATGCTTCTGGACCATCAGCCTTTATTTTCGATGAGGGAGATTTTGAAGCATTTAATTCGACATTATTAGGCAAGTTTTCAATTCAAACTAAAAATTGCATTGGAGACATGATTACATTATCAAAAATCGGTAAAATAGAATCCGAACACGTAGACATTTACGCAAATGAACCTTATTATGATTTCGCACCAAATCATTACGCAATTCTTCAATTTGGAAGTCTTCGAAAAACTGTACACGTACACGGATTTACTCAAGATACATTTGCTACTTTAACAAATTCTGAATTAAAAATTAATTTTGTGAAAACAAACGCGACATTACATTTAAATAATAGCCAATTCACAATCATTACAACTCAAAACAATACAATGATGCTCAATAGAATGGAAGCTTCTTCGTATCTCTCAGAAAATTTAGTATTAGTTATTAATAACGGCGCAAAAGTCAAATTTAATGAATATTCCAATTTATCTATGCCAATTAAACTTGAATCAACACGTGGAGGAAGCATAGAGTTTTTTAATAGCATAAAAATACAAAATCTTTTTGTTATGATTGGAAAATTTTCTATTAAACACTCCAGTAACATGACAATTCAATCAGTATCATTAATCGAGTCCAGTTTAATCCTTTCTGCAGGAGATTACGATCCTGTATTTAATTCAATTGTTCTTACAGGAAAATCACTGATTTCTCGGCCATCAACAACAGGAAAATTAAATATTGCTGAACTGCATATGAATGATGTTCCAAATATCAATCCTTTAAAAGATTTTTATCTATAAATTTTTAATATCGTCGTTTTTTCAAATACTTCAGCGATCTTAAATTTTTTGAAAATACACGATTCATGCCAAGTCAAATTCGAATAGTTTGATCAACCAACAAAAGGAATTTTCGTAAATGATTTAATTATTCCACAAAATCATAAGATTTATATTTCAAAAAATACATCTGATGTTGACAAATTCCTTTCATCAGTATCCTATACATTTTGCTCGCCAAAATTAACAGATGCTTTTCAATATGATTATTCTGGCACAGATCCGGCCAATTATGGATTTACACCCAATACATTGCTTCTAGAACACAAAATTTATTACATTGGCTCAAATTATTGCATTGGTTTCACTTTAACTAAAGATCCAAGAAAAGTTTATCCACTTGTATGCTATACAAATGACACATGCAACATAGAAGGGGTAGTTATTAAGAAACTGGGCCAACCTCTCAGCGAAATCCCATCTGAAACAGAAATTTTAAGAATTTATACAAGACATACGATTACTGAAACAGATGCTATTGTAATGTCAACATTACCAACTTTATCTCATAAAATCAGTGTTGAAGTTGGAGTTCCTGGAGATCATCAAAATCGTTTTTATTTGTACTTCGAAAAACCAGTTAATGACAAAATATCATCAATAGAATTCATTGAAAGTGAATTTACCATCGCTACAAGGGACGAAAGCTTCAATTTTGCGTTAGATAAAATTATTATTGACGATACAGTTCCCATTGAAATAGATACATCCAAATTCACATTTAAAGGGACAAAATACATTAAGTTACCTATTTCACTTTGCGATCGAATCAATATTGAAGAAATTTTGAATGTGAAATTGACTTTTCCTATGGATGGCATTGATAATGTTGATCTATACTCCAATAAAATCACATTGGAACTCAGTTCTGAAGCTAAAAGATCGTTTTCGACCAAAGTTTCTAATATTTCATTTGCATTTCCAAGATCTAGAGATTCCGTAAATATATATCGAAAAGACAAAGAAGTAACTCCATTATACATTGCAGATACTGTTCCTCATCTTAAATTTAATTCTGATTGGGATAATTATAAAGGATACGCAGTTTATGCGGGTATTCCTGGCGACACTGTAATTGTTGAAGCAAATACAAGCTATTTACCTATCAAATTATTGTATTCATGCAAATTATTGTTATATGGCCATAATGTTTCATACACTACTATATATCTCCCAGCGCAGCCCATATCTGAACTCGAAATAAATATATTATCCATTTACAAGATTAATTTAATCATTGATAATCCAATTTTTGAACAAGATATCCTCATTCAATGCCCACTTAAAGGATTTCCATCAGGATCTAACGTGTTCATTAATAATGCAGTTGTCGATGGAATAACTGCAACCTTTTCTGGAGTTTTGATTAACGGAACTTTGTCAGCAACGCCTGGTTCATTCATTGATCTGTCAAATTCCGAAATATCTACAGACGCAGTAATCAATTTGAGCATTACTGTTGGCTTTACTTCAAGTGTCATAAATCTTTCTGATACAATTGGCTTTGACGTGCTAAATGTTCATTGGAACATATCCGATCCACTTCTTTATGCTCCTTATACATCTCATGAACCTATATTGCACGCAAATTCAAAAATTTCAAAAGATATTTGGGTAAACTTTTACCCAGAAAGCATGAAGCTCATAAATGGAATCGTTAAGCCTACAGCATCATATAACGATAAGGATTTATATGCTTCTTTCGATGCCGCCGCTTTCAGTCACAAAAAATTAAATTCGGCCCAAGTTTTAGCTATCATCACAGCCGCCGTCACAGCATCTATATTTTTGGTTCTTATTGTATATACATTCGTCAGTACAAGGAAGAGAGAACAACATGGCTACGAAAGATATCTTATTTAAGGGTATAGTAAACTCAAAATTCTAGAGTTTTGAGAGTGCCAATAAACTCTATAGGCCTATATATATCTATATTTTAAAGGAGAGGTTACGCCATAATATTTGATATTATAAATTATGAGTAGGGGGAATTTTAGCTAAAAGTGACACATCTGTAAAAAGTGACACACCCGTGAAGGGTGTGATTACCGATCGGTAATTTCGACAGTTTAGAATTTAAAATTTTTTATGGAACTGTTGCGAGTTTCATAAAGAATTTAAGGAATATAAGCAAAGATTTGAATCAAAATCTTAGACCTAAGCCGCTCGATTCGCTCGCGGCTTCCGCGAATTACAGATCAGCAAAGATTTGAATCAAAATCTTCGAACTAAGCCGATCGCTTCGCTCGCGGCTTTCTTTATTATTTTAAATTTGCATATTTCCATCAAAAGTTCATAAGGTAAAAAATTTCGTTTATTTTTACTAAGAAAAAAAGGTTTTTGATAATAAATTTATTTTATTTCGAAAAAGTAGCAATAATCGTAAAAGGGTATTGATAGGCTTGCTAAAGTAACTAATTTTAGCTGTCAAATACTTTTGTATTTTGAAGTAAATTAGTATAAATTTGTTTTTACTTTTATTTCGAAAAAGTAGCAATAATCGTAAAAGGGTATTGATAGGCTTGCTAAAGTAACTAATTTTAGCTGTCAAATACTTTTGTATTTTGAAGTAAATTAGTATAAATTTGATATTATTTTAACTCCCTTTGAAAACCTCAATTTTCCATACAGAGGGAACGGGAATAGCATCCAATATTCCCTGAGAATGGTTGCGCATTCTCAGTTCCCTCTATATTTCGAACGAAGCTCTCATCGGTCTTTTTTTTTTAATACTAAACGTTTTTTTTCCCTGTCACTTTTAGCTAAAATTTGGTTTGCCAAATGATTATAGTCTGAACTATATTTTACCAGATTATCAAATATAAGAGAAATGAAATAAGGCATAATAAGGGTTTCGTTTTGCTAAAATTGTCACTTTTATAGCATATTTGTTTTTGGATGTTTTGCGAAACCAAAAAAAAAACTATGATATACAATGTGTGTGTAAAGAAAATACTTTATTTACTAGTTAAAAAATCATTTGGTATTGATCAAGTTATTTTTTCTGGATAAGATATTATATGGATAATTGGATAGAAAATACAATTATATAATCTTGTACCTGGTTTAATTAAGCTAATTGTCATCAGAAACTTGTAATTTTTATGAATTTCAGATTTTCTTTTCATTACTGCTTTTCTTAATAGGTCAAGTTCTTATTTACGTTATAAAGTATGATATTTACAAATATCAAGTTATCATGTTTTTTGAGAAATTATGAGAAACAAACAAAAATGAAAAAGATAGGAATAGCAATGAATAGTGATGTGGGTATAGAAAATGTAAGAGATATGAATGCAAAGCAATCAGTATTTAGGATATTGACCATAGATTTCGAAAAAAAAATGCTGCATATTGAGCGAAAACTATGATTATATTATAAGGCTGTCATTTAAAGCATAATGAAACTATTCCCTTTTCATTTTAATCGAATAAGATAGTAAAGATTTTTGAATTAGCTAGAAACTGATGAGATGTTTTCACAAATCAGATTTTTAATCTCTATAATGCATAATTCACTCAATATCTCAATTTTGATATTGCGAGATATTTTTGCTATCGGTTTCGCAATTTTGACACGAGAAAGGGACAGACTAGCCCATTGTCACTTTTTAATTTCGCAAATGAACGCTTATGGAGTGGAGTTTTTGGGTAAATCTGATTTGCTTATAAATGAAATAAAATCAAAAGAAACCATATTGGCATTATATTATGCAAAAATAAATGATCTTACTTAGTACTTTTAAAGTTAATTTCAGAAAAAATTTGACACAATGGTATCCGGCACATACAAGTGGTGTACAACCAAAATATAAGTTAGTTTAAACATATATTGCTATATCTCATGATCTTACTTAGTACTTTTAAAGTTAATTTCAGAAAAAATTTGACACAATGGTATCCGGCACATACAAGTGGTGTACAACCAAAATATAAGTTAGTTTAAACATATATTGCTATATCTCATGATCTTACTTAGTACTTTTAAAGTTAATTTCAGAAAAAATTTGACACAATGGTATCCGGCACATACAAGTGGTGTACAACCAAATCTTCGACTCGATGAACTTGTCATCGAGTTATATTCCAGTGTTGTTCCTTCATTCCTGATTAAGTTGCAAATTAAAGGTCTGGATTCAGAGAGAAGTGTTAAAGTTATCAAAAAAGTCACAAGAGATTTCGAAGAAATGACACAATTTAAAAAAGTCGAATGCATCAGTATGCTTGAAGCTGTTCAGAAAGGTCTGAAAAATGATACACTTGATCCCAACATTGTTTACTCAACATTAAAAATATTATTGCAAAGAAAACATTTGATTTAATAAACATTTAATTTATTATAATTAATTTTTTATTACAGTATAGTAAAAAATGCTATAAATAAATTATTATATTTTATTAAAATGTGACTTTTAATAGTAAGTGAATAAAATAAATCAGGAATTGGGAAAGAAATAAGGTTAATTAAAAATAATGAAATTACAAGTTTAAGGTTAATGAAAAGTGACAATGGGCGAGTTTGTCCCCCACTCATTTTGACACAATAGCAAGAGGGTTCTATAAGCATTATTATCAACGTAGAATCTGAATATCATATCAGAAAATGTCGCAAATCTGACATTTACCCGACCAAATAGCAAAAATAATTGAATACTTTTCGCAAAAACTTTAAAAATCGATAAAAATATGAAATATAGATATTAAAGAGACTTTTTATATAATATTCATAAAGATTTTCCAAAAATATGATACCGCAAAATTAAAAAAGTGACGTCTTGAGTGGAGTCAAAGGTCGAAATTGCTAGCTAAATGTTTTTTTAGCGAAATTGCGTATTGTACGTTTTTTTCGCAAAACGAAACCCTTAGGCATAAAAATATCATAGCATAATTATTGGATAAATGCATTAATAAATTATTTATATCATAATGAGAAAAAATCAAAATAAGAAAATGAGCATAATAATAATTTAATTAAAAACAAAAACAATAAATAAAATGTAATTTTCGTTAATCAAAGTCATCAATGTCTTCGTCTTCTGATTCCCATTCGGACTTGAAAACTTGATAATCTCCTCCTGGTACACTCTGAATGGATTTTTTGTATTTGTTCTGTTTTTTAGAACCTTTTGTAACAGTTTTTTGTTTCAATATCATTTTGGAGTAACAATTCTCTTCAAATGATTTGACACAATCTTCTGGAAGTGGGGAAAGATGTAATGCTTTTTGTATATCTCCGAGAAAATGCTCTGGATCATTCCATTCTAAGATTGCAACATTAACTCTAATGTTAATGTTCTTCCAGGCTCTTGATTTGTCCAAATAGCATGCAATTTTGGAGTTAAACGCTTCATTCATGCAGGTAGATCCAATGGAAGAAACTTTGGAAACTATGGGTGTCCATTTGTGAACCCAGTCATAGAGCATGAATTGAAGTTGGATTGAATTGATACCTTTTTGCCATTCAAAGCATTTGTAATTGTGCGGTTCGCAAAAAGAATGATTGCCTACGTAATGGTAGACACAATTCTCCCACATTTTCGTACGTTTGTCAATATTTTCTTCGGCAAAACATGACCAAAGCCACATACTTAGGCTTGCATTCAGACCCCAGAAAGGTCTCTCTATTTTTTCAATCTTCTGAGTCTTGTCGTTGAAAACTTCAACTGTCTTATGAGAAGCTGAGAACTTTGTAAAATCTTTTGAGATATTTTTTGATACATGACCTGGATCGAATCTTTCAAGATGAGAGACGCCAAATTCTTTAAAGACAGAGACACTTTTGTTATCTCGGTCTTTAATAATCTCTTTAACATCTTTCAAGATATTGTATTTCTTTAATTGCTTCAAGATGATTCGAGTTCCAGCACTTTCCATATTGTTGGAAGCTCCGGAATACTGAGCATGCTGTCTGTTTCCACCAATATGGTTGATGTTCACGCATGCAAGAACTCTTTTTGTGACAGCATCGAGCGCAGTTACTGTACAACTTGGCGAGTTTCGCCTGTGCGTCCATCTTGCATCAATGGATAAGTAACCACTGAAGGACTTTCTCGACAGCATTAGGGAAATACTTTTAAGTCTTCTAATCTTATTGTCACAAAATCTCTGTTGTCTCATGACACCACTCTTCACAGGGGGAGTTAGTATGGTTATGTTGGGTACTGTGGCACTGCGTTCCACTTTACACAATACTTGTGAATTTGACACTTTACAAAACCGTTAACGTAAATTTTACAACACAAACGACAACACTAACTTAACCTTAAATATTTACAAAACCATCTGACACATAAATGACTTCACTAACGAACTCACTAATGTAAAAATAAACGTTCTCACTATCGTTCTCACTAACGACTTCACTAATGTTCTCATAAATTTTCCTCAATATCTTCATCATCAGTGTTAACCCTATTGTAGTCATACTTGAAGCCATAAACTTTCTCTAACTTCTTAACGTACAATTTACATAACTTACCTTCGTCATCGTATGGTTTAATGATATAACTATTTCTATCTTTATACACAGTCAATGAAAAGTCAACTGGTCTCGGATGTATTTGAAAGAACATGTTATGCTCAGGAAGGAAGAATAAATGTTTAAATGTATGTTTGTTATACTGTGGAATTCGAATGAGTTGCTTTTGTTCTGTCATTACATCCAAATAAAAATTTTCAGTAAAAATAAAACTAACGTTAAAAATTTCTCATAACATAAACGTTCTCATTACTTTATAACTCTCTTCCTTGGTTTCTTTTTAGTTGCTTTCTTCACGTCTGTCTCCAACTTGACTGTCTTTCTTCTTCGTCCGTAATGATACCAGTTACTTCCACCAGTCAATGGGTCAAATGGTCTTTCGTAA